CACCTAGACTAGTGGCCACATTGGAACATGATCGATAGAATGCGATCAACACTAAGAAAGACTTGACACGCATGACATTGATCACCACCCAGTCATCAATCAATTGTGAGTACAAGACTTTCATGATCATTACTTTTAAACCATTATTGGGTAAAAATACGTATATTTGGCATCGATTCACAAAGAAATTATGAGTGTTAGTGAAACCACTAAGTAGCTATCTAAACCAAAATAAATGACACGGAGGTACGAACCTTACATTTAGCATCTGAATATTGAACAACTTAACCACTAAGTCACTACTGCACATGTATTATTATTATTTATTTAAACACATAAATATTGGTACAAAAAGGCACCAGATATATATGCGCCACACAAACCTCATTTGGTTTATGTGAGGGCTGTGATACTGCCCAGATGCCCAAACTGAAGCAGGTGGTTTACTTAACAGGCCACACCCGGAGCCTTTAACCCAAAGATCTGATTCACAAGACAGTGGAGCATCGTGAGGAGATGCAGTCCCATGGTAGCCGGTCACCAACAATTGATTCATTCGCCATTCGTTCCATCAGGATACTGGAGCCCATGTACACCATTGGTTTGGAATCAGGGTTCTCCAACTCCCCTAGGTGGACCCTCCGTATCCAAGAACCCGGTTAAAGCGCTGAACATTCGCTTTTCGTCCTCTCACTTTCGTAAACAACAGTAATGCCACGAGAAGGCAGTGAGTAGGACTTCCCTGTCAGAGGCTATATATTCGCTGGTCATGTGAGAGCATTTCGAGAGGGAGAGCGAACTCTCCCCACTCTCGGCCGTACCAGGGCATTTGGGGGCTACTACACTTGTACAAACTGTATTATATTTTGTACTACACTTGTACAAAATATAATACAGTTTATGGTATTGCATTGAAATCAAAGCAGAGAGATCAATTAATTTTGGATTAGAGTCAATAAATGACCTAATAAATTACATTTAAAATAATAATACAATGTAAGTAGCTAGTTGTATATTAACTTCATTGAATAGATAATTAATTATATTTTAGTAGAGTAGTATGGTGTGATATGATACAAAGAAATTAATTAATTACTGTTTATATAAATATACAAAATATTAATTTGGTCCTGGATTCCATTACCAGCAACTATCCATCTTTGCTTACAATAATTGTTGACATTTATTCAGATATTATTGATTTTATTTGACCTACAGTGTAAATATTACTATTTGTGAAAAGAAATATTATACAAAACTACAGTAACTAATATTTTCAACTATATTTGATTATATTCACTTAGTATTGTTTGTTTGAATCTTCCCATTCATGTTTAGGACTGTAACTGGTAAGTCTCTATTTGGCATATGTGTATACTTTGTCTATTGTCTCGATATAGGTTTAATCCACAAACAATGTAATCAATGATGGATATTGGCTAGCAGTGGAATCCAGTTTGACGCGTGTTTCGCCCTATTTGGGACTCCTCAACTGGATGTATATGCATCTCAGAGTTGATGTTCATTGTGGGACTTGAACCCAATACCTTTCGCGTCAAACGCCATCGCGTCCTAGATTCCACTGCTAGTCACTATCTATCATTCCTTACCATATTTGATTATGTGTTAAATCATGCAAACCGAATATATATATATATATATATATATATATATATATCATTCGATTCATAGAGTTACTCCACAAATAAACTATCTTTAAGTATATTCCATGTATTTTCAATATCAAGAAGTAATGTTTAATTTGAAAGCTTTTGAGATACTGTGCGCAAAACATGTTCAAGACTAGCTTATGATCTTGATGATGCCGGAATGCACTAGACCTTATATATATAGTATTACAGACAAAGGTGGTCAGTGAGAAAGTTATCTATCATCTACAGTATTATTAAACAAGATTTTAGATAGATAGAAAAAAAATTGATCGTATTGAAGAATTGTGAATTAAATTAATTAACTAAATTACACATTTAACCGGATAGACGAACCATCCAACTATTTCTGACAGCTCATTGCTAAGAATAATTACAAAGCAAAATTTCTTACTAATGTTATGAAGGGTAAGTCGCACCTCAATATTAAAAAGTACATATCATACTAACAGTTACTGTTAACCGGCCAAGTGAGCATATTTCATCAAATAATCCAAAAAATTTTACCACACATTAGGATTTATGAAAATCTATCACAGAATAGTCTTTTGAAAATTATTATTAGAATATAATTTAAATGGAAAGAGTATTAATGAAGTTCTTGTTAGTAACAGAAGTTCTACAAAAACGAAAATATAGTGACTAACACTATATAACTACCAATATAGATAAACTTGAAAACAACCAAATGCAAGACTAATCAAAATAGCAAAATTAATCAAAAGTTAAAAGCATTATATTAATAATAACAAAAGCAGTATTGCTCCAGATAACACATATCATGTTAGATTGTATATATACTCAGACCTGCAGAAACAAATACAAAAAAAAAAAGACGGGATAGCGGCCATCTACAGGCTTTACTGAATCAACATCACATAGGAACAAAAAAATATATAATCATTTAGACTGCATGCCTACTATGGCTTCTTTAGAAAAAAATCATTGCATTCAATATTATCAATAACCAGCATACTCCAGTTCTGTAAAGATTTACAGATAATATAACAATTAAAAGGCAAAAACTTGACGTGTATGTTGAAATGTCCGTAATCAGTCTATCGTATATGCTACTTGTATGGACAGACATAAGTAGTTTGTAACATTAATCAGAAGTTGATTACCTGTCAAAAAAAGGTCGAGAAGATTAGACTGAAGAAAACACAAAGGCACACATGAAAGAATTGAGAAATCGAAGAGTTAAGAAGGATGCAAAGAACAATTGATAGGAGATTTGAAAAATTCTTTTTTTTTTAACTTTGCACTAAATAATAAATTGGTTATTGTCATAATGAGGGTTTGTAAAAATTATAGTAATTTAATGGTTGAATTTATAAGTCGATTTAAGCTGGACCACTATAGTGAGTAGATGTGACCAGTGGAGTCAAACCGTGTCTATTGTGACGTAGTTATTCATTGAAGACAACGGTGGAAGATCGCGCAATATCTTGTATTGGTTGAAGTTAAATATTAACACCGATGGATGCCAGCTCAGAGGTTAATAGTTCGTGCGATACCGAAGGTCCTGGGTCCGAGTCCCACGTGTGGGATTGTGGATGCGCACTGCTGAGGAGTTCCATCCTAAAACGAAACGGCCTTCCAGTGTTTCCAGGGTGGTATAGCTTAAATCGACTCATGAATCTAACCATTAACTAGATTGGTTATCTCCACATAAGTTCTCGTTCACTACATGTCTCCAACTGCTTATGTATACATGATTTTTTTCGAAACTGTCAACAAAAGATATTAACTTTAAAGGCTTATAGCCTATATAGTTGGTCCAATAAGTAAAATAAGTGCGGACTATAGTAGAAAAACCCAAAACAACATAAAATATATGTACAATAACTTGTTGAATTCAAGAAGAGATTAAACTGACAAAGAATTGGAACTAAAAATAAAAACCACTTTTAAACTAATGAACACATTACCATGACATTTATTTTCTTCAGTAAAATCCAATATATTTCTTAGAAAAAAAATTACGTATTTCAATTTATTTTACATGATAAATTAATATATTGATAACAATACTACTACTAATACCACTACTACTACGACCACTACTATAACTACTAATACTGTGGTGTGGTCTACTTATATCCATATCAGTAGTATATGGTGTTGGTCCGACATAGAATGTATTTTAGCCGATGAGCAAAGAACTGAAATGAAGCGCAATCGTTTGGAAAATGCATGAGCAATGGAATTAGAGAAGAAACAGTGAAGATTGAAACAATTGGTTGTTAATTTGCAAATTGACTGTTCATTGTTTGGTAATCAGAATTTATTGAGATAGTCTGTAATCTTTGCTTAAATACATTCGATTGTCCCCAACTAGTGTTCTGTTCACTACAATACTACTACTACTACTACTACTAATAATAATAATAATAATAATAATAATAAAAGAAATAACTAACCCGTTAATTGTGTTTTTCCTTTAGCTCGTAATTCAAGTAAATATTTAATTTCATGTTTTATTAATTCTTCTTCTAGAAAATTTTTTAAAGTAAATTATGTAATTAACAACAATGACTTACTATACAAATTTTCCATAAATTGTTTCCCTTGTATACCAGTGAAATATCTTAGAAATGGTTTTAATTTCTCGTTTAAATAACTGAAATTAAAAGAATTAACTTTTTATTATATAATAAGTGAAAGATATCACGTAAGACAGAAGTTAAAAAAAAAGTAAACAAAACTTTAAGTTGACTTTCATACCAATAAAAAGTGTTAGCATTCATCACAGAAAAGTCATTAATAATAATAATAATAATAATAATAATAATAATAATAATAATCACAGAACTAACACTAGCTGTGAAAACCAATAAATACTAAGGTGCCCTGGTACCGCCGAGAGTGGGGAGAGTTCGCTCTCCCTCTCCAAATGCTCTCACATGACCAGCGAATATATAGCCTCTGACAGGGAAGTCCTACTCACTGCCTTCTCGTGGCACTATTGTTGTTTACGAAAGTGAGAGGACGAAAAGCGAATGTTCGGCGCTTTAACCGGGTTCTTGGATACGGAGGGTCCACCTAGGGGAGTTGGAGAACCCTGATTCCAAACCAATGGTGCACATGGGCTCCAGTATCCTGATGGAACGAATGGCGAATGAATCAATTGTTGGTGATCGGCTACCATGGGACTGCATCTCCTCACGATGCTCCACTGTCTTGTGAATCAGACCTTTGGATTAAAGGCTCCGGGTGTGGCCTGTTAAGTAAACCACCTGCTTCAGTTTGGGCATCTGGGCAGTATCACAGCCCTCACATAAACCAAATGAGATTTGTGTGGCGCATATATATCTGGTGCCTTTTTGTACCAATATTTATATGTTTAAATAAGCAAATAAATCTAAAACTGTCTATTGTTTTTGACCAATTTATAGAATGATGACCAGGTATGAAGAAAAAAATCTGTATAGATCTGAAATCTATCGGTCTGTCACAACTCCCTGATTAAGGTCCTAACGATATAACTCAGTAGTTTGAGACGTAATCAGACAAAGCATGGAATCGAATCCGATGAAGATCCTGCTATAGTTTCCTTTCACATGCTTTGTAATAGGAAGAGCGACTCCCTTTACTGACTGAAAGATAAGTCTTCCGTGTTTGTACTTATAAGTGAACTGTACCCAAATTAAACAATATCTTTGTGAATATATATACTTAATGTTCATTTGTATTGGACCTTATATATATTTCATAAGTAAATATTTCATCTTTATCCGGATTACGATAGTGTGTACCTACGACACAACATAAGAGCTTAAAATCTTTTTAAACAAATACGATACAGTGAGTCTACGGTGTTGATGAGCTATAAACTAGATAGGGACGGTTGTTCAGTTCCCACCTCAGTTGTCAAGGGTTCTCATTTCACAGCTTGTAATGAACACTGACTTCTGTATACGGTAGTTCAAACAGTATACATATACAATCAATCAAACAATAGAATCCTTCAAGCAATTCATTCAAATAAAGAAATGTAGTACAAAAGAAAGTGACAAGCAGAAATATTACACTGATTACAAGTTAGAAGAATGGATATATATATATATATCATACTATTTGGTGCCCGTCCGCTGAATTGATCTGCACCTCAGAGTTGACGTTTATTATGGGATTCAAACTCAGTACATTTTGTTTCAAACGCCCAACCCTTTATCCGCTTGGCTAATGAAATTAAACAATCATTCACTTGTACAATAATGGACATGAACTTTAAGTTAATAATCTAAACCATTACAAATTAAATTGAAATTCACAGCCGTTGCACAAGCTAGTGGTTGTATAGGTTAGGTAGTTGAATGGATAATGTACTGGTGCTTGAAGGCATAAGTATTTGGTTGGAGTTCTGGTCAAAACATTGAGAAAAGCATTTCGATACATACTCCCTAATTTCTTTCGAGTCACTTATTGCTATCTGAGTATACAAAAGAACCCTTTTGAACCAACTTCATTTTGATAAGTGATCGAAGAAATCGGATGTTACACGTACATACATATCCCAAAATTGGAATTAAACCTAATGTTAATTGACTTTTTAATTCTGTGATGTTGAGCAGAAATTAGGTCAAGCACCAATGAAATCATAGGCCAATTTTATGCTTTCTTAATGTTTCGCAGAATATACCTTTGTCTCATGTCTTTTAAGTGATCAGCAACTAACATCAGTTAGATTAGTTTAAAGATGATTCCTAACTTTGAATAAAGAGTTTGATTAAAAGCATTAAAACAATAAGCACTTGTCTACTGAGAGACTCTATTTTCTCAGGACGAAATTTTCATTTTTACTGAATGTTTGTGGATTGAGTTTTGTGTTATGTTTGGTGTAAATCTAGAGCAATATAAGATAGAGCTTATTAAAGTTTTATTGTTAAACACTGTCTAACATTTGGATCAGCTGGTTTGGAATTATACTAACAACCTGACTTCGTTGATTGTTTCACTAATCATGGGTATATTTCAGCCGCCTCATACGATAGGTTGAATTATTTGTGAATTATGAAAAGCACTTAATGCACTTAATCACGGGGCAAGTGACCTTAAATAATATCAATATTGGATTTTCTAAAATGTATGTATTATAGTATTAAAACTATCACCAATGTATAACGTGAAATAGAATGCTTATTCAAGTTGCCATAAATGGAAGTAATAATGACTGAATTCAGTAACGTTTGTGAGTGAACTAACGGTGTTCGCCTTAGAAAGAACATCAATATTTTGTCATGCTACAATATTACTAATTAAAAACTTACAATCCGTTGAAATCCTCCAATGAGTTTGTTGATTCAACTTTGTAGATATTAGTTGAATTTATACTTTTGGAATCGGTTAATCCTTGATTATTCAAAACATTCGATGAGATATTGACTACAATTGGTGCACCTTTTATCAACTCAGATGACTGAACAATAAATGGAGCAGCAAGCCAACTACTTGGAGAAGGCTTTTTAGTTGAACTTTTATTCAGAGATTCATTAATGTTGGATAGTTTTCTCATAGGTGTTATTTTATTATTTAATTTGTTGTGTGATATATTTGTCAATGATGGTGGACGTCCACGATGTTTACTTCTGGCAGGTGTATATCCTTTTGCAGTGTGTTTTCCTACTATAGGGATACGTTTTTTTATACGTTTGTTTAAAATAAATGCTAGAATATAAGGAATCAAAGCATGCTCACAAGCGATTTCTTTGCGCCTTTGACGCTCACGCAATCTTTGCATGTAAATATTGACTTGTGCTACTTTTAAAGCTAAAAAAAGATTGGATAATTATACAAATTTTAGTGAATACTCAAGTAAATATCTGATATTTTTAGAGCTGACTAATACGGTAATAACTAAAAATTAATACATATACCAACAAAACAATACCAAAAGTAATGAATAAGAACAAACAATATTAATTTTAGTGACACAGAAATTTATCTTTCTTTGAAAAAATAGACGTTCTCTTAAAAAAGATTATTACTGTCGAACAACTGACAATCGTCTATGCGCAATCAGTTGTTTAATTCCTTTTAGACGACCAACCACCGGATATATGTGAAGATGACTCAGTTTCACATAAATTTAGGACTTTGGATTTTGACGATTATGTAAACTTTTAAATAAGACAGATTCGATTGAAGTGAAATATCTTCATATCGTAGTTATTTTTTTATAATTTCGTGTCAAAGTGAATCAATGTTAATTAGGGAAAGTGAGGAAATGATTCAGTAATCCAAGCGTCGAAATTTCAATGACATTATGCTATTCTTTAGTAATTATTAAAATTTGGTCAGTTATTACAAAAAAGATTTTAACTCCCTGAGACCTGATGATATTCACCACAAAATAAATTTTATTCACACAACACTATAACACGATTCAGTGATTGACATTTTACATTGTTTCATGGAAAGTCTAGTGGAGAGCAGTTAGTCGTCTATTCAAATGGTGAGGTAGTTGCAGCGAAATAAGTTATTTATCTCTAGTTAAATAATTCATCATAAATAAAAAATTTGATTAGAAAAGCTTGAATATTGTTATCAGCATATTTATTTTTTCTGGAATAAACGATGCATTTTAGTTTCCCAATATACAGATTTATTTAAGACTTATTTTCATACGATATCATTTCAACAGGGAAGTGTTCAAGTATGAATTCAATCCTCTATTTTTCATAGAGACGAATATCAGTTAGGTTATTTGTTAATATGAGTAATCGATCACTTGCTAGAAGTATGTAATCTGAAATACATCTATAAGAGTGTAAGTGATTAGAAGTATGATCCTCAAGTAATGAACTGGCGATGATCTACTAATGAACCAATATTTTGATTTTAAGGTTGCTTTCTAGAAATAAATTCGTCTGTAAATCCGTCGAACGAAAAGTTATGGTACTTAATGTGAGGTAGCTTGTACTTCATAAACATCAAAAATATCTTACCCTTTACTTTATCTAGGACTTAATCCATTATGTGCATTTCCCATAGGTTTGTACTTTAAAAAAATACTACCTTTTCTTTTTTAGTTTTTGGAATCTTTAATTTTTTCACTCTTGATTTTTTTCGGTAGAACCTTACTTGAATACCCTGGTACTTTTTTAGATGAGACAAAAAAAGTCCATCTCAACTATTTTACCATTGTGACACATTATCAGTTAACTAGTTTTAGACTTCTTTAATTACACATTGCGTAAGCGTTACACAAACTTAAATTGTTATAAATCATGTCATATAATTTCGTGCTACAGTTCTTATTATCAAGTTATTATGAGTGTTTTTCACTCAAATTTCACGAACTCCAGATTATATTTTGTCAACTAGGTTAAAATAAGACGCAAACAATATGAACCCAAATGTCTATCAGTCAGTTATGATCAGTGTTGAACCTAGTACAAATGTGAATAAGTATTGAGAATATGGTCCAAAAAACAGTGTGGGTATGTATGAAGACATACTGCAGCTCAAGATCTAGATGGAGATAAGTGTACGCATCTGAGTCATTGCGACATTTTGAGTCATGTCCCCAAAGTTTTCAGTCGCTGATGGCGGTTGTTGCGCAAATCTTAAAAAGGTAGTCTGGATCTACCAGGGCGGGTCAGACTATGAACCGATCTTACGTTTTGGTTTGAGAGACTCTTGACTTCTATCAATATAATCTTATTCCGATAAACATCACTCGTTGAGGCAAACAGCGATTGGGCCTAAGAAATAGTTTAATTTCTTAACTGAATTTCTTAACGGTTGTACATTTCAGTCCCCCTTTTTTTCTTTTTTTCACCCTTTCTCTTCCTATTTTCATTGTTTTGTATGGCGCATATGTATCTGGTGCTCTTTTCTACCAATATGTATGTGTTTAGACAAATAAATAAATAATAAATAGTTTAATTCTATTCATGCTTAATTTCAAAATTTCGATACAACCAACTAGTCATGAGTAAGATGGAACTAAAACGATTTCTAGTCAAGCATGAAATAGAGCAGTTACAAAGATCCATAGCTACTACAATAAACTATTTTAATCCACATACCGTCCTCTAGGTCATCATGAGAAAAACTGGGATGTAATCTACATAGTATACTCTCAGCATCGTTGTCATAATCCTATAAAAAAACTAGATAAACGAAAGTGGCTGAACAAAACTAACTCGTTCAAAGTCACCACGATTTGGCATGTAACCCAACAGCTGTTGATCTTCAATATCAATAAATGGTGCTTTTGGTGGTTGCATAGGAGATGCCACTACACGGTTTGTATGATCTGTAATTCGAGAAGGATATTCATTATCATTCAACAGCTCCAGGCCAAATACTCCACCCAAATAGCGATTACAGTAATGATACATGCATTCTTCAGAGCTTTTAGATCCCACTTTTAGAGCTATATCCTCCCTAAAAGTGTAAACTGAGTGGAAGAAAAAGTACGTACCAATTCCCAATTCCATACTGCTCCAATGCTTCAAGAAGATTCAATTCCTCCTCAGAATTCCAACCCTCGATGATAGAGTGTGGCAGTAAATTTAGTCTCTATAGTAATCAACAGAAGGATTACAGAATATTTACCGAAACCCGATAACCATGGTTTTTCTTGTGTATCCCAGACTCAACACCGTAACAGTAGCACTGAAAGTAACAATAAGTTTAAAAAACTTACACTAATACATAGCTGTACGCAATCACATTCAACACATATCAGATGCACATCAGCTTGTTTCAGACAGTTCGAGCATATATTTTCTCTCGGAATCGTGGACATCTATTTTAATAGTATGACATATATATATATATATATATATATATATCAAATAAAAAACGATTGGTTTTATTCATTATAAAAGATAGTGTAAGTGTTTTTAAACTGAAAACTGGATGCTTTTAAAAGATATGGAAGAATTTATTTTTGAGACCTAATACAATAAATAACTTCACTTTATCTCACAAAACTACGAACTAGGAAACAGTGAAGAGACTTTACTACCTACTCAGCATGATGGAACGATTATGAAGCAGACGTTTGCTTTTATAAGTGGTTTGGTTTATATATCCGTATGCCTGTGTAGTTTTTTTTCAGATACTGCATCACGGTTACGGATGTAGTACGTGCTCATACTACATGTAAAATTATATTTTCGTTCAGTTTAATGTACTATCCGCTGATCAAAACTTATTATATTTATTTATTTATTTAAACACATAAATATTGGTACAAGGAAGCACCAGATAAATATGCGCCTCGCAAATCTCATTCGATTTGTGTGAGGGCTGTGATACTGCCCAGGTGCTTCTCGGCTATCTGAGCTAAGATCATGTGTAAACTTATTATAAACTTGTGCAGAATGTTTCTAACTCCGCTGGTAGCTCCTTCGGGGGCTACTGCCGGTCCCAAGCCCGGGTAAAGGAGGGTTGGGCATGGGGTTATCGACCCCATCCCGTAGCAAAACAAATCGCTGAAAGAATGCTAACCAGAAAAATTATTAAGCAGATTGTTTTTAACCGAACACACACAAGTTTAGCTCTGCCAGTGAAACACAACACATGCAATTTCAATCTATTACCCTGATATTTTCGCTTTTTATTCTCATTATTTTAACAGATAAATTGCGTAACGTCACAAACACAATATTATTCTCCTTAATTTAAGTCACCTAGTCAACAACCGATAATTTCCAGTACAAATGAAGAATTTTCTCAAGTAAATGGAACAATAATAACATGACTCAACACAGGGAATTCTGGAAATATTGTCGACGTTGATTTCACTAAGGCTTTTGATAAGATGTCGCATAACAGGCTTCTACTGCAGCTGGGACATTTAGGGATTGCTGAGCTGTTGAACTAGGGTGAAGACTTTCGAGTAGGCTGTCAGCAGATAGTAAGAATTAATTTTGTATTAACCAGTAATTCGTTGATAATCACAGAGCTTTGTTTTAGGTTGTTTACCGATTACACTTAATGTTTTTTTATTTATTTATTTAAACACATAAATATTGGTACAAGGAAGCACCAGATACATATGCGCCGCACAAATTTCATTTGATTTGTGTGAGGGCTGTGATACTGCTAAGGTGCCCAGACTGAAGTAGGTGGTTTACTTAACAAGCCACACACCGAGCCTTTGACCTGAAGGTCTAGTCCACAAGGCAGTGGAGCATCGTGAGGAGATGCAGTCCCATGGTAGCCGGTCACCAACAATAGGTTCATACGCCATTCGTTCCATCAGGATACTGGAGCCCATGTGCACCATTGGTTTGGAATCAGGGTTTTCCAATTCCCCTAGGTAAACTTTCCATGTCCATCAACCCGGTTAAAGCGCCGGACATTCGCTTTTCGTCCTCTCACTTTCGTAAACAACAGTAATGCCACGAGAAGGCAGTGAGTAGGACTTCCCTGGCAGAGGTTATATATTCGCGTGGCCATGTGAGAGCATTTGGAGAGGGAGAGCGGACATTCCCCACTCTCGGCTGTACCAGGGCATTTGGGGCAATGTAGATGAACTCCTATGTATCACTATGTCTCGCATGTTATTTAATGCTGATCTCAAGATCTGACAGGCAGAAGAGGCTGATGTACGTGCACTTAAGTCCAACTTAGACATTTTGGCAAGTTGGTCTAATCTCTGGCTAACACTTATCACAGCAGCCACGTATATCTACATGCAAATTATGCACGTAAATGTCAGTAAATGCAGCATGGTGTCAGTGCCTTTAATCCTCTCTTATAATGATCTAGCACTAATAGTAAGTCATAACACAAAGAAAATGGCTCACAGATATTCGGTTGCAGATAATGAGTTTGGAACTAGGGGGGTTAATGGAGTGCTTTCACCAATAAATAAGAGTATTTTCGTGAAGTTTAGACAACCCTAGTGGCCGAAAGCCGTGCACAAGCCGTACTGTCTTGCTTAAAACGCGGTTTATATCACTTAGAAAAAGTAGAAAGGATAGTTGTGAGTGCAATCGGAGAGCTGAGTAGCTTAACAATCCCAACACCGGTTGAAAAGTTAAACTTCTTTTAAGCGCAGATTAAAAGATGGACTAGTCGCAGTTTAAGGGAGAGACTATAATTTATGAACGAGCCAAACATAAGCATTTGAGGAATTTCAAGGCTACGGCCCTAATTTCAGTACCTGATGCTCACGTACGATCAGTTCACAAAGGATTTTAGAGACGTGACAATTAAGCGGTTACAATGAATAGGACTACTAAGAGGTTTATTTATTTGTAATTTCGGTAATTAATTGACTTGTAGACCTTGTGCAGACTACAATGATGATGTTATCTTTCGATGTAATATATGTTAGAGGAGGAAGTCTGCTAGAATAGGAACATTGATAGGACTAAACTATACTGCCGACCTTTGAACGAAACTTAAATGATCTTGAGAAATATTAGCCGATCCAGATTGAGACTAAGTCAAATTATAATATTTGCTGCGAACTGTATAATAAAAGCACTGGTAACATTGGCTGCAACACTCGCAGATGTTACTGAAGCTCCGACTGTTTACTGGTATGAGTATTGCAGGAATATATGAGTAATAAAAGTGACAAGCTCAAACAACTGGAATACACACAAACAATATTGAAGATATGTGGTCGGGGCTGAAAGGGCTTTTGCGACTTTATAATAGCTCCAGAGACAGACTATTACGCAGCCGAATGGTTGAGTTCCTCTACGTATACATTACGATTTTTGAACATCTGAACCTCTTTTTAACCTTGACAAGTTTTTGAACCGTGTAAAAGAAGTGTATCCACTTTAATTCTTTGGTTTTGTGTAATATATTTTTACTTAATACTAACTGTTTGCTGATTCGCTAATAGATTTCAAGATTGTTTAAGAATCGTTCATAGATCGTTTATAAATTATAGTCTCGCCGTGTTATCGTTTCCACCCGACTACATAACTTCCCTCGAATCTGGATAACACAATTACGATCACAGTGCCTTCTGCGACGTCGTTTTTGCACACGTTAACTATATATGATCAACCACTTATCGGAAAATTAACTCTTGGAGAATCATTAATAAAATAGTTCATTCACTTAAAGGATATACAGCAAATCGAATTACAACCCAAACAACCAATAAAGGGGAAATAAAGGTGAACAAAGGGGAAATAAAGGCGAACAAAGGGGAAATAAAGCGGAAAATGCATTGGAAAATAAGTCGTAAATAAAGGGGAAATGCATCGAAATGTCTGCTTTTTCGCCTGTTCAGGGGAAATAAAGCGTAATTTCCCCTTTCTGTGGCTCTGTTTTTCAAATGTCGCTAAATTACCGATTTCTCCCTTAAATATCCGACGAATAACCGACTTTTCGCCTAAATATCCGACGAATAGCCGACTTTTCCCCTAAATATTCGACGAATAGCCGACTTTTCCCCTAAATATTCGACGAATAGCCGACTTCTACCTTCAATATCCGCTACATTCACTGCTTTTCCACTACATACACACTAATGCATTTACCGCTACCGCCTGTAGACACATGTGTCTACCGTAACCAGGCTTAAGCCTAGTTACGGTAGACGAAGACAGTTGCGGAATAACAACTGGACTAACCGTGATGTAATTTGTGATTTACTAGAAAATGAATGTTGAGGAAAGTCAATTTCCTTATAAATTAGTCTAAACAAGTAGACAAACTTATCAATAAAGATATAAAAACCCAGGAAGTCATGAGAAAGTATGAAAATATGGTGGAGAGAATGTATTACTTTTACGCCTAATTTTATTATGCGAAGAATTAGGCAATTATTTACCTACTTTAGTGAAGTCAGGATGGAAGCACTCAAATGAAAGAGATGTAACGTACCATACATATACCGCGCCTTCAGAACATATAACCAACGCGTTTGTCTCGAGCTAGAATGGATGGATTAATTTCTTCGTGCTCGTTTGCAGTTATTTTGATACGCTTTCAACAATTTGATACAGTCCAATGATTGGTGGTTCAGCTACTTTAGTGCACTCATTTCAGTCGGTATGACAGTTATTTGTGGATTTAAACATTAAAATTTAAACACGTAGTTCGGCGAACGTGTAGATTAAACAGTAATAATGGTAAGAAACAGCGTCGATACTTCATGCCATAATATCCAAGGTATTCTCATTAGTAAAAATTAGAATGAAGAGCAATGTGTATAAACGAACTATAATGAATATAAGGAATGATATTCATGATATTTTTGTTGCACGTGGCTAGAGAGGAACTTTTACATAAAATGTATTCATTAGATTCCCCACCGTTCGCTATTCTTACTGAAGTTAAGTTCATAAATACGAAAAATTGTCAGAATCACAAATAAATATCTAATCCACTGAGCCCATTGGTTTTGTAGCTGTAAATAATTCCCCAAAATCAATAGCTCATTAAGTGTTCGACATTGGATGCTGACCACGTTGTTTAAGTGGACTTGTTTAGCTGAAGGCTTTCGGTCATGCATCCGCACCAGATCACGTTTCAACACAGCGTGGGACACAACTCCTACGTTTCATTAGCCAGCTCATAGAAAAGGTCCTTGATATATTGGTAACGAATCAAATATATCTTTCCTGCCTCTTCTCGTCTGACTTCTAATTTCTATCTGACTGGGAACAATCGAATTTAGAAGGTGCTACTGGTATCTAGTTGTAAAACTAGAATATCCGTTGCATCATCATTGGTGAACCCGACGTGATCTGGTACACCAAGTCAATATACTGTGAGTCTGTTCCATTTTGGAATATTATTATTCATTGTTATTCTTTATTTGAATTTTATATATTGTGACATACTTTTTTTCGCGAATTTTTTTCCGGATATATTTTAATTAGACATTTTTCGTTATCTATATTACTATGACGGAACACTCACCCAAGGTTTTTAAGTTAAAGTCTATTCCCCCTATTTCGATTCAGTTAACGCCATTTTGGCCCGACAATATGGAGTCGTGGTTCTGCTATACAGAAGCCGGTTTTTGCATGCACGGAATCACGAACTCGCGCACACGTTTCCTCGCGGTAGTTAAGGCGTTACCGCGCGAGTTTAACAGGTACGTAACACCTAGTATGTTTACTAGTGATGTTCCCGAACCTTACGAAACGCTTAAACTATCGATTTTAAAACGCGGAGACCTATTGATCGACAACGGTTAGACCAACTCCTTAACAATATCGACTTGCAACATGGTTCTGCGACAGACATGTTGCTTAGAATGAGAGAAGTCATCGGCCAACGAACTTTCGATGATGGCTTATTTAGACAACTTTTCTTGTCTAAACTCCCTCAACAGGTGCAGGCAGTGCTTGTTTCATTTCAAAACAATGCCATAGATGAACTAGCTGCATCTGCCGATCGAATCTTGGAAATCACCGAATTTTCTAAGGCCGATGTTTTTTCCATTAAAGAAAAACCCCAATCGACGTCGACTGACATGGCCGAACTATGTCACACGCTTACACGATATCTTAGAGTTCGTAATGACCGTAGTCGGTCAAAATCCTCACGTAGGAGCGTTTCACGTAAGAGATCTGTCTCTCGACCACGAGAGACAGACAACCCCGACTGGTGCTGGTATCACAACCAGCACGGTAAATCCTCTAGAAATTGCAGGAAGCCATGCAATTATCTGACCTCAAAATCGAGTGACACGAAAAACAGTTCGGGAAACTTCCCAGCCGGCACGCGTTAACGGCAACCGTAGCCGGCGAACACAGCCGCCTCTTATATGCCACGGATGTGACTACGAAAGTTCGCTACCTCGTCGACACTGGCGCAGAAGTTAGCGTTCTTCCAGCAAATCCCGACGACAGACTTCGCGAGTCTGTTTTAAGTTTACAGGCTGCAAACGGAAAGCCGATCGCTACTTACGGTAAAAGGTACGTCTACCTTAACGTGGGTTTACGCAAACCCATATACTGGATTTTCGTGGTTGCAGATGTCTCTATGCCAATCATTGGTATAGACCTGTTACAACACCACAATCTACTCATCGACACACGCGCACGAAGGTTAATAAACGGAAACACTAAGTTATCCGTTTGCGTAACTCCTTGTTCTGGTTGCTGGTTATCCCCAGTCACGATTAAGCACGCCATAGACCCCTTGTACCAAGCAGTACTCGACAAATACCCCAGGATATACCAATCGCAATCGAAATTACCTTGTGTAACCAGCAATGTTACACATCACATCTCGACTACAGGACCACCTGTATTTTCGAAAGCCCGAAGACTCGCTCCCGAAAAGCTTAGGTTAGCTAAAAACGAATTCAACCACATGATGGACCTAGGGATAATTCGACCATCGAATAGTCCATGGTCATCCCCATTGCACATGGTCCCTAAAAAGGACAGCAATGATTGGCGGCCAACTGGTGATTATCGATGTCTGAATGCTAAAACCATTCACGATCGTTACCCATTGCCTCATATTCACGATTTGACAGCTACCTTGAAAGGTACAACTGTCTTTTCGAAAATCGATTTAGTTAAGGCTTATAACCCAATCCCGATGGCACCTGACGACATTCCTAAAACCGCCATCATCACTCCATTCTGTCTTTACGAATTTCTACGAATGCCTTTTGGTTTAAGAAATGCGGCTCAAACCTTCCAAAGGTTTATAGACGACGTCTTCCGAGGTCTCAACTTCGTACATGCGTATGTTGATGACTGTCTAATAGCAAGTCCGGACAGAGAATCACATCTCAAGCATCTGGACATTGTTTTCGATCGACTCCAAAGGCATGGCATTACTGTCAACATTCAGAAATGCCAAATCGGAACTAACTGCTTAGACTTTTTAGGACACACTATTGATGCCCAAGGCATCCGATCCCTTAGGAGCAAAGTGGCGGCCATTCTGGATTACCCAGAACCGACCACGATCAAGCAGTTACGAACTTTCAACGGATTCGTAAGTTTCTATAGACGGTTCATACCCAAATGCGCATCCCTAATGAAACCGTTAACCGATCAGCTTCGTGGAAATGCGAAATCAATTAGTTTAGACGACACCATTCGAAAAGCATTCTCCACAGTTAAGGAACACATCGCCAAAGCAACCTTGCTTGCTCATCAGGACACTCAAGCGCCCATTAGTATCGCAGTAGACGCATCCGACTCAGCAATCAAAGCAGTCTTACAACAATGGGTTAACAACTCGTGGCAACCTTTAGGATTTTTCTCGAGACGGTTGTTAGACACGGAATCTAGGTACAGCACGTTCGGTAGGGAACTCCTAGCTATGTAATGTGCTGTACGGCATTTTCAACATTCCATCGAAGGAAGAGAATTCACGCTTTTTACCGATCACAAACCTATTACCTTCTCTTTAAATTCATCTTCAGACAAGTACTCACCGCGAGAGTCTCGACAACTCGACTACATTTCACAGTTTACTTCAGACATACAACATATTTCTGGAGCAAACAATGTAGTCGCAGACGCCTTGTCTCGAATTAGCTCCTTGAACAGTTTCCAAGGAATCGACCTTCTTAAACTCACTCAGCTTCAAAAAGAAGACATTGATCTTCAGCATGAGTTATCCTTGACAACTCTTAAACTAAGTATTAGGCCGATGGGAACAAGTAAGGAAACCTTACTCTGTGACACATCTACAGGTAGGGATCGTCCAATTGTACCAAAACATTATCGCCGCAACGTCTTCAATACGTTGCACAATCTTTCTCATCCAGGCGCTCGTGCAACAATCGAACTTATAGCCGATAGCTTTTGTTGGCCTGACATGAATAAAGACGTGAGGGAGTGGGCACGCTCCTGTGTAAGCTGTCAGAAATCTAAGGTCATAAGACATAACAAATGTCCCTTAGGCTCTTTCAAAGCCCCTGACGCTCGTTTCGACTACGTCCATCTAGATTTGGTAGGACCCTTACCCGACTCGAACGGATACTCATATCTCCTAACATGCGTAGACCGTTTCACTCGATGGCCAGAAGCAGTACCGATTAAGGACATTACTGCTGAAACCGTGGCCCGCGCTTTCGACGAACGATGGGTAGCAAATTTCGGCTGCCCTTCCACAATCACTACAGACCGCGGACGCCAGTTCGAATCTGGACTTTTCCGTTGTCTAACCTCACTTTTAGGAATCACGCGCTTCCGAACGACCGCCTACCACCCACAAGCAAACGGGTTGGTAGAACGTTTTCATCGACAACTAAAAGCCTCATTATCAGCTTCAAACGTTTCACAGTGGACAGACGTTCTTCCACTCGTCTTGCTAGGTTTCCGCAATGCAGTGAAAGCTGACATTGGATACACGGCATCTCGACTCGTTTACGGAACGACACTCCGACTCCCAGGAGAATTCGTGGATCCTTCAGCTTCTTCATTGAACATAGATCTAAACTCTTACACGAGTAGGCTTACAAACGCTATGCGTTCAGTTAAACCTGCTCACACTCGACCTCAATCAACTGACGTTTTTGTTCAAACCGAATTACGACATAGTACACACGTCTTCGTTCATCGAGACTCACATCGACGACCCCTCGAATCAGCATACGAAGGACCCTTCAAAGTTCTTCTTTTTTAATATGCTCATTTTTTTATTTATATTAAAAAAAAACATTTATTTTTTTTGAACGTATTTATATGGATTTTTATATGTTAAAAAAAACCCAAAAGAAAACCATTTTTTTCCGATCGCTTTTTACGCTGTTTGTAAGCGTATTAGTTTTTTTTCCGCTCATCTTGTGTCCTTACGCAAGTACGAGTGTATTTTCGACATGCACTCACACGTTTTATTTTTCCTCTTTTCCAGTACGGCTGGAAAAGAACGACGAAGTTTCGCAAGGAACCGGAATTTTTCATTGTACTATATTTCTTTATTGCTATGTTGTACATTTTGGTCCCATAGTTTAAGGAAAGACGACCAGACGCTGCTAAACGAAGCAAGCTATCAGAAGAGTGTTTACCAACGACAAACTCGTTGGGTTTAAACTTCTGGCTGGTCACGTCTTAGGGGCATCACTACCTTACTAGGGGGGGGAGTGATCTGTAGCTGTAAATAATTCCCCAAAATCAATAGCTCATTAAGTGTTCGACATTGGATGCTGACCACGTTGTTTAAGTGGACTTGTTTAGCTGAAGGCTTTCGGTCATGCATCCGCACCAGATCACGTTTCAACACAGCGTGGGACACAACTCCTACGTTTCATTAGCCAGCTCATAGAAAAGGTCCTTGATATATTGGTAACGAATCAAATATATCTTTCCTGCCTCTTCTCGTCTGACTTCTGATTTCTATCTGACTGGGAACAATCGAATATAGAAGGTGCTACTGATATCCAGTTGTAAAACTAGAATATCCGTTGCATCCTTCAGTTTTAAATGAATAACTATCTCTGATATTCACAAAAAAGGCTGAAAGATATGTCGTAACATCAGTAAGTATAAGCTCATGTGTTCTTTATGCGTGACGTAGCCTCTTTGATCGCTTACTAAGAACCCAAAATAACACTGTCCTTTCTAATATATTAAAAACATTTAAATAATTGCAAGGACACTAGCTGATGTTTGACGTTGAAGATAGACAACCATACCGAAAAGTCTGACCATAACCACAACAAGGTCAACTCAGTTAGTGACAGATCTAGCTGACTCGATCAACTGCTCTAGTCTTGGTTACTAAAACTGTAACCTACACACATCCTAACACTTTCAAACACATGACGTGTGATAAAATACTAGGTCCACATGAAATCGCACGCTAGTACGGTCCAAAGTAACGTTGTACTTTCAAGTGTTTTTGAGGGCTTTTTCTACTGTGACGTATATATACTTCATCACGTTATTTCCCTCCGTCGAAACTTTCGTTTCGCGTACTTTCTCCGTAGATTGTTTCACATTTTGCAATTCGGCCTATCGAGTAACACGCACAATGATGGCGTCGCAACCTAACTGATAACATGAATACAAAAACGACCAGTAGAGTCAGAATTCTCTGTTCAGAGGTTAACAAAATACATATTTCTAGAAACAAGATCACGGAATGGCCCAAAATCACACCAGATAAAAAGTCTTAGAGTAACGTGTGTAACATAGATCACTTAACCAATGCATCGAAACTAAGTTTCCAACTAAATAATCAGGATCATTCACCTACCCAGAATCCTACTCACATTAAGAATAGCAAGCAGAAGATCAATAGGAGAACCTTAGGCAGCACGCATTGCAAGATCACAAAGATCTCTCTAACTTAGAGATGGTAGTAATATTTAATGTCAACTTCACAGATTAATCAAACCTGGAACCAGCAAGCTCAGAACACCTTTCAACCGTTGTACCAGATGAGGGTCTTAAAAATATTCAACCAACCCCCAGGCTAGTACTAAAGCGACCGAAATCCCTCCGCCCAGGAACGTCATCACGATGTGTTAATATACGACTGATAATATTGAAACAGTTTGCGGAACTCATCAGCACACTCGTAGCCAATAGCCTATTCAGTCACTCAGTTGGTTCACACCGACTCTCAAGGGAATGAAAGCAGATCACTCTCGAATCTCCAAAAGGAGCGTTTGAAAAATCCCTACCTGTTACAGTGCAGTTCCATTGCACTCGATGCTGTCAAAAGTAATGAGTGAAACAGTTGAAGAAAAAAATGAAGGGATTTGCGGATAAAAAAGAACATCCTCCATCAAGTACAACATGAGTTTTTGAAGAAACGTCTAGTCTTTCAAAACTTCTCATGGAATGGGATGGCTGGATGACTTGTTGTGGCCGAAGCATAACGGCTCAGGTATTATTTCTTCAATTCGTGAATGTTTTCGGCCTTTTTTCCTCACATATCCCTCATAGCGAATGTTGCAAAGATGGGTTTCACTGACCTATTACAACTTTGACCTCAAAGGTATCTGGAGAACAGGATGTTTCTTACCAACGTAAGTAGAGTGCGCGCAAGTTTATTGGTCTCAACGTCAGTAGTTTCACAAGGAAAATTCTTTGATTCACTTCTGCTCTTGACCTTTACTAACGACCTGTTAGATAAAATAATCTGGACAGCACTTATGTTTGCAGACGACACAAAGTTCTGGTGGTTCAAAGAATGTGAAACGGATTCATTTGAACATCCAAAGGACCATGCGATAATAGGGAAATGAGCAGCAGATAATGGGAAATGCGCTCTCGTTTGTCTCCTCAGTGTGTTATTTTGGGCTTTCGCCGCGGTAAGTTTGGACATCAGCTCAAGCTGCACTGGGGGGGGGGTGCAGTCAACGCAAACGCGACTCTCCAGTTTATGTGTAGACACTTGGGCTTAATCACCATAGAGTTGCTCCTAACACTGAAACGTACGCACGACTTCTCAATGTCTTGCTGCCTTCTATCTTCAGAAAAGACATCAAACACCCAGGCACGCTCTCGGATTTTCTCACGAGTTGCCTCCATTTGTGATGCTCTTCTAGTCGAAGTAGCCACAGTGCCATTGATTGAAAGGTTCTGTGGAGGAGGCTTGAACAACATCCACTTACCCATGGATAACCATCCCTCTCTTGAGTCAGCTGTATCTGATGCATATCCCATAAATTACCATGTTTACCATTAATGCATATCAGTAACTACTTCCTATCCCTCTTTTCATTAACCCCGTCTTCCCTCTCAATCCTCCAACTCCTCCTTACACACAAACAACTTGCTAGCTTATCTGTCATTCGTGAAACAATCGTCTTTTGATAGCACCCACGTCCTCACTTAATTATTTTCCATATAGCAACCAGTCTCCTGCCTAGTAATGTGATAGTTTTTGATGTCCGGAAATCTTTCTGCAGTGAGACAAACGCACTCATTTGTATTATAACATATGTGGGTCCACAGATAACTGCCACATTACGAAATTGGGGAATCGTAATGTAGCGAAAAGTAACGAGAGCAAAAAGCACGACCGCTTTGTACAGACCTGTAACCAATACATTAGATATCGAATCCTATAAATAGCTATAAAAGACCTATTTTCTGTATAACAGTCATTAAACATTGAGATTTGTTATAGTGTCTCAAAAACTAGACTTTTCGAACTTTCTACCAATTCAATCTAGATTATCTATTACTCTTTTCAGACATTACTCTAACAGTTCTCAATTTCAGACAAGAGTACCTAAGACAATATAAACTGAACAATACAACTCGACATTTCTTGCGCAATGAGATGGATTTTTCTGATTTTTACTACCTTAGGTTCATTTCTACCCAGTCATGTATTCACCAAACATAAACCACTCTATTCTTATGATAATTCTATGCTTGTTCTTCTTCATCCGTTTGATCCAAATCTCCTCAAGTCCTTAGATGCTTTAGCTGATTATTCTCGGATATCAGTGTACGAGATGCTTATGTATTTAGATCAGAAGAAGTTAAAAGACAATCCACTGTATAACAACTCTGCATGCGTTGTCGACGTGACATCGATTGTTTATGGAATCATCCGATCAAACGAAGAGGCAGTGAAGTGTAGGCATACGTGATTGATTTTATTTCTTTCGAAGGGTTGGATGCTGCAGGCAAGATTGTTCCTGGTGTTTCTGGTGGTGGTATCAACTGGTTGGGAAGCATGGAATTGTGTCGAAATATCACAGATTTTAGCTACAGTTTATCCCAACATGTCCGAGGAAAGTATTGTTCCACATACGTGAAACTTCCTTCAGCGGGAGATCTTCCTGAGAAGATGGTATGTTTTTCTCCTTATATTTTATTATATCAGTCATTCGAACTAAATTATGGAGTGTGCATCCCTCACACTTGTACGAAGGATGATTTGATTTGGCTTCTAGATATGGGTTTGTCAATTTTCAGTTATAATTGTTTAGTGTTTTCCAAGGTAAATTTATCCATAGATAGGTCCACAAGCTTCTGTCATGCGAATTTTGGAGAACTACCTAAAGATAGTTGGTTTTGGGTAGCAATGTGAGTTGTTGAACTGTTTTTCTTTATTTCAGCCAACAATGTGCAACAAAAATCAACACTGACTCTTCTTGTTTGACTGTTTTGACCACTTTTCATTGATTTATCTAACTAAATAAAAGTTTCGTTATTTTCGTGCACTTTGTGAAGAACTAACACCGTCAATATTGTATTAATGATGCTTTTTACTAGTTATATCTATCAATACTTCTCACTCAAAGTGTTCCCCTTCGACACTTTGGATGCTGTTATGTTTAAACAACAACTCACAATGATATTTGGAAATATTTGAATCAATATACTAACTATGAACTATCAAAAATTTCCAATTTAGGTCAGATAGGATTCGGTTAGCGCAACTGATCATACTGTTTTACGATCTCGCGTTAAGTACTGAATACTGTACAAAATAATCGTCGTTACTTACAAACATCGCACTTATACAAGAAGGAACTGATCATTTTTCATAAGAAAATATTTGTGTTTATTGTTGGTTTCGCAGTAAGTCACTTCAGTTCCACATAGTTGCGCATGCAGAAAGTTGCCATGTAAAAAACTAAGACTATGTTGTTGATTTACGGAAGTCCAATTTTATTGTTTGCCGCCTTGTTGGCTGACAGTATTTGATGCTGCCAAATTGTAACATTTGCGTTTACTGCTTTTTTGTTAAGTGTATACCTAATTCACTTTAATTATATTTCAACATATTTTTGCACACAAAATAATTCTTTTTCCATTCTTTTTAGGTCTGTATTAGTTATCATGATCTCTCTTCTAATAAGCGGAACTGTTGTAGATTTAGTTCTGTGGTGTAGCTTAAATTATCGTATTTGTGAACTTTCGTATGACAGATTGATAAATGTCAGTATGCCAGCAGAAGCATCTACTTCCAGTAGAGCTATTACTAATTGTGGAGAGACCACTGAGGAGGAAAATATGCTGGAACAGACTACATCTAACCACCTTAGCACACATAGGCTATCATATCTTGAACATCGATCAAGTAAGAGAATTTGTCACTTTTAAAGCCATTATTCTGTAATACTGGGGTTTTCAGTCATTTTTCACTGATAGATAAATATATTTTTTATCAAAAGTTTTTCTAACTGATCAGTTGGAAGTAGACGAGCAGAATTCCTGTAGTCTAATTATATGGGTATAGTGTAATATATCTTTCATTATTCTATTTAATGTGCGGAGTTTGTCAGCATGCAAAGAATAAACCATTTCAAGTGGTGGACACATTTTTTCATTATCTAAAGTTGACTTTTTGTTATCCGGAAAGTTAGGTTTAGATTTGTGACCGGGTGATACGAGTCTGTCTCTTGAGACCGTAAATTACAGATGACCTACGATTGTATCTTTTTAACGAGTTCTGGAGAATCAAAAGCCTATCTTAATTGGTTTTTGGTATGCTTCAAATACAGTCAATCATAATCTTTAGTGGTTTAGCAAATACAGTAAATTTAAAGCAATAAGTCCCTTTGATAAATTTCGATAATGTAATGAGAAGACGAAGATTATCAGAACTATGTGATGTATTAGCGCAATACATTTCGAACAATCTGATCACACATATACTTGTTAAGAACATTTATATATAAAAATAAAAGGTCAACTAGACTGGAAATAGGGGTAAGGATAGACAAGGATAATAATGATAAAATAATGTGAAAACAATTTGACACCTAATCACTGGATAATAATAATATAATATATATAATATATAATAATAATATATTACCGGGGCAGGTTTAAGGAGAGAACAAACTGCTTTTGAATACACAAAGGGGGTTTGAATTTTCGTATGGCTAAGGCTTCAATAAACCTCAGTATATACATATAACATAGTTCTGATAATCTTCATCTTCTCATTACATTATCGAAATACAGTAAAAGTTTTTAGGTTATGCTCGTACCTTGGAAAATAAGTTATTATACTTCTATAAGAAAAATTGTAGCTTTGGTATTGTGGTTTATTTACTTCTAAACCATGAATTTTCACAAGATCCCATTTTTCATTTTAAGTTATCTTTGTTCTAGACATATATAGTATATATGTCTGATTTGTGAAGTAATTATCGTTTGTGGCTACTGTTTAGGATACTTCAGTGATCTTAAAAAATGTTTTTCAACTACTAAATCCGTTTTAGCCCCGGAGATATTACATGGTACCTTGTTTGATTGCACCTTAACGACGTTGTTACGAGCTTTATTTATTTTAACAGAGACATTTTACTGATTTATTTTCTTATCTGTGTTCCTTACTCAAAAGATATTTTGTCAAATATAAATCCATGTATTAAATACATTGCAACTTATTCTGTTCCCTATAATACGTGGCATCTTTGGAACTCCAAACAAAATCGAGTTCTAAATACATCAGGTCAGCGCTGTAGTCATCCGTTAATGTGCTTGGATGGGATTCGATTTTTAACCATGAATTGGATAATTTATGGACATTGTATAGCATTCAGCATGTTTGTTGCAAGTAAGTTGATAGTCTGTCTTGTTGAGAAGATGAAATTCTACCACTATTTATATATATTTCTTATGCGACTTCTATATACCAACTAATGTCATTTAGACATTTTAAATAAATATACACATAAACCATTTCCTTTCTAGTCCGTTTGATCTAAGGAGTGCTTTCATACATATTCTACGTCTACATGGACTAATTCAGTAACCGTAAGAATAAACCCATATAGCCACAGACATATATGTTTGCTGCAAAATGACACGCTGAATAATTTCGTGAAAATTATGTTTATTGGTACTGTCAACCAATATCAAGGTCATAGTCTTCAATACGAACGTCAAGGCAGTTCTACTGTACGAATCTGAAACGTGGAGAACTACTATAACCATCCTCAAAAATGTGCAAGTATTTATAAACATTTGGTTACACAAGGTATCCAATGTTTGTTGACCAAAAACCACTAGCAACAGTTTACTGTGGAAAAGAACAAACTAGGTTCTAGCTAGGGAGAAAATTAGGAAAAAATGTTAGAAGTGGATAGAACATAAACTGGGGAAATCATCAAACTGCATCCCTAGACAAATGCTAACTTGGAGTTCTGAAGGGAAACGGAAAAGAAGACCAAAGAACACATTGAGTCAGGAGTTGGAAGCATACATGAAAAAAATGAATGGCAACTGGAAAGGATGACCCAGAACAGATTTGGATGGAGAACGCTGGTGTGCGGTCTATGCTCCTCTACGAGGGTTAACAGGCGTAAGTATGTCTGGTGGTGAAGAAACACCTACAGACAGTTTTATCTCTTGTACTACATGCAGTTTGTACTCTAAAATACAATCAGATAAAACTCCAGTTCATATTTTCATATTAACATCTTTAAATAGCACTTATAGATTTATTCGACTTTAGAGTAATGTGATATCATTATGAATTGCTTTCACCACACCTTAATTTTTTCCTACACATCTTGAGTTTCTTGAATGGTCTCTTTCAGACAACATGCTACTTTTCTCACAAATTCACCAGCCAAAATGGAGCTATCAAGTAATAATTAGTGCAACTCTATCTGTGGATACGTTCTTCTTCATGTCGTACGTCTACCTAATCCGTTTTCTATTCAAGTGTGACAGAAATGTTGTCTTTGTTTTAATAACGATAAAATTTTGCTCATCTAAATACTAACACTGTGATTGTAAACATTACTAGTGGATATTTAATGGCTTATTTTAGTTTTCTTTATTTTGCCCAGCAGTATTAAGACTAAGTATAAGCTGACCTTAAATATTTCGTACGTCCTGTCTTCATTTCAAAAGACAGTGAATCTATGATAGGCCTACTTATAACCACATGTACTGAGGAGTAAACTGTTTCACTTATTATACAACGACACACACTAGGTTCCCCATAACGTCAAAAGTAGTCTAATCTTGGGGAAAATAAGAGTTATTTCCTCTGACATATCAGACGCACGTGTAGTTACGTGTATTTGAATCTGAAGAATATGGTATTAAATCACTATATAAAAGCGATTTTAGATCATTCACAAATGAGAGAAATTTTCCTGCTTTAATAAAGTTTTGTGCTTTAAAATGCCATGCATTGTTTGTACTGTAAATAGTTATAGTAAGTGTTGTCTGACTCCACTTGTGCATTCCAAATAAAGTTTTTATTGAGGTGAATCATATCATACATTTTAACAACATTCGTAATTGTCAAGTATCTGTCCAGGCATATTGTGTCTTTACGTGCCATCAAGGATAAAGTTAATTTTATATCTCTTCCACCGTCCAAGTAAATTTTGAAAAACGCACTGTCATACTGATGAAAAAAGGAAGGTTACAAAGTGAATCGAGCAAACTGCTTGAAGATGAGTCATTTAAAATAATTACATAAATACGAAAAATACTGACTGACCTAGAGAAGAGATTACAAATATTCAACATTCAGGTCTTCTACTTCCATCACTATTCGACAAGAATGTGATTCCAATTTGACATTTTCAGGATGTAATAAAATGCGTGCGTTGATCGTACTGAATGTGAACAATTTTGTGACCTTTAACTTGAATTAGTTATTGTGACCAAACAACTCAGCCTGTAGCCTCTCCGGGGGCTACTGCCAGCCGAAAAGCCGGGAAAAAGAAGGAGGGTTGGGCATACGGTTAGCGACCCCATCCCGTGGAAAACTAACTTGCTAAAAAACGCTAACCAGAAATATTATTCAAACGATGTAAACTCTGCCTTGGGGGTCGGAAGGTCTTTATTTAGAAGAGTTATGACGCCTCATGGTGAAAGCCGAGTTTCCTCGGAAGTCACGAGGCCGATGCGCCTTCTGACAACCAGAGCAACCATTCATCTAGATACATGGAATGCTCGTACAATGTGGAAGACCGGGAGAATTATCTAAATCGCTGCAGAAATGAGGAGATACAACTTGAAGGTGCTTGGGATCAGTTAAACACATTGGACACAGATTGTACAATAACGACTATCTTCAAGATAGCTTCTGTTATCCTCCAGCCATGGAGAAAAAATGCCTCAAATACACAAGGCTTGGATGGAATTCATCACTCTACATCAACTTCATTGACTACGAGAAAGCATTTGATAACGTGTACAGGACAACACTATGGTGGCTTCGACACTATGGCGTGCCTGAGAAGAAATTCAATATCATACGGAATTCGCATGGATTCGTGCATGGAGGACAACTCACTGACTCGTTCGAGGTAAAGACAGGTATCAGGCAAGGTTTCTTACTCTCACTCTTTCTTCTGGTGATCGACTGGATCATGAGGACGTCGACATCTGGAGGGAAGCACAGGATACAATAGACAGCCAGGATGCAGCTGGAAGATGTAGACTTTTCAGAATATCTGGCTCTTTTATCACACACGCAACAGCAGATGCAAGGGAAGATAACCATTGTAACATCAGCCTCAGCAGTAGCAGGTCTCAATATACACAAAGGAAAGAGCAAGATTCTCCCATACAACACAACGTGCACCAATCAAATTACACTTGATGGAGAAGCTTTGGAGGATGTGGAAACCTTTACATAACTGGGTAGCATCATTTATGAGCACGGTGAATCTGATGCAGATGTGAAGTTGCGGATCGGCAAAGCAAGAGCAGCATATTTACAACTGAAGAGCATCTGAAACTCAAAACAACTGTCAACCAACACCAAGATCAGAATTTTCAATGCAAATGTCAAGACAGCTCCACTATATGGGGCTGAAACCTGGAGAACTACGAAAGCCATCATCCAGAAGTTACAGGTGTTTATTAACAGTTGTTTACGCAAGATACTTTGGATCCGTTGGCCAGACACTATCAGCAACAACCTACTGTGGGAGAGAACAAACCAGATTGCAGTGGAGGAAGAAATTAGGAAGATGCGCTGGAAGTGGATAGGACATACATTGAGTAAATCACACCACTGCGTCACAAGGCAAGCCCTCACATGAACTCCTGAAGGCCAAAGGAGAAGAGGAATACCAGAAAACACATTACGTCGAGAAATGGAGACAGACATGAGAAAATGAACAGAAATCGGATAGAACTAGAGAGGAAGTCTCAGGACAGAGTGGGTTGGAGAATGCTGGTCGGCGGCCTATGCTCAATTGTGAATAACAGGCGTAAAGTAAATAAGTAAAGTATTCTAGCGAAGCCACTCTCCAGTTCTAGTTGTAACTAGGGAGCATATGATTTGGTTAATTTATTTGTTATTATGATGTCCAAAATAAGTTTAAATTAAATCACTGAAGGAAATTAAAACAATCACCTAATAACAGTCGGATTTTAATCCACATTCCGCTTTTCTTAATGGTTTTTACTGTCTCACTGAATTAAAAAGTCTTTACACATTCAATTACCACTTACAACCGAAAATCAGTTTCACTTTTATCGGTTTTCTGTTAATAGAATCTGAGATAATGGTTTATTTTAATTTTTAATTTTCTAAAAACACATTTTAAGCGTACGGTTTTGTGTTCACCTTTCAATTAAACCCTCATAAGTTTGTTCATTAATTTATGAATACATACAGTCGTTTGGTCTGTTTTGATCAAATGACATTTTTCATCTTGATGTGTACTGAAACGCTAAAATCTCAAAATGTTTTGTAATGCTCTGATGATATTTAACTGAATCTGGCAACTGGGTTACACATATTCTTCTAGCATCTGAGCCTCTAAAGCATAATTGGTATCTCGAGAGTTTATAAAATTTGTCAACACAAGACAAATTTTATTTCCCGCTTACATCTAAAAGATTTCAATTACAGTCATTGATCTCATTTATTGAATTGCTGGAGAATAGTCCTTCATTTTTCAAGCTGCATTTCGTAGTAAAGCCATAACTAGATACAGCTTAGATGAGATTAAGAGTACATTTTGATTAGATATTAAACTACTACTACTACTACTACTACTACTACTACTACTACTACTACTACTACTACTACTACCGATCTTTGAGGTTACAAAGCACATACATTCCGCGGTAAATAAAATGGGAGTAAAATTGTTGTCTACACCAGTATCATAGTATGAAATGGCTGTAAAACTCCTAAGGGTGTAAAAGTTTTGTCCCTCACTTCCAACGTTGTTTACTCGGGAGTAGCTTTGAGATTTTTTTAAATTGCTTTTTCCTTATCATAGTTTAAAACAAACAATTTGAGTTTTTAGGTATCATTACCAAGACTTGATTTGATAATTTTGAATAAATTGAGCATTGGGTAGATTGTTATAAATAAATTATATATTTGTAATATCCCAATGAGTAGAAAAATTAGATTTTCTGACGTTTCGTGACTCAGTGTAAGCCACTTCTTCAGAGAATAAATAAATCATTAAAATTATTTATTCTCTGAAGAAGTGGCTTACACTGAGTCACGAAACGTCAGAAAATCTAATTTTTCTACTCATTGGGATATTACAAATATATAAATTAATTTGAGTTTTGTTTGCGATATGTTCCTGTGCATAACATGGTTCTATGCTGATATATTTTACCTTATATTTAGAGGCTTATTATCTACTTATCTCACCATTCCAAAACTTCGACGAATACCCAGTTGGAAACATTGGATAAAATTTTGGTGTGATTTCGTATTTCATCGTATTTTACGGTAATTTATTTATTTATTTGTTTTAATCCGATTAAGGTTGTTAATCTGCCCATAAGTGATCAACATTTGAATGAATAAATTGGTTTAAATATAAAGAGAACGGTCATAGATTATCAAGTTTTAACTGTATTTTTGTTAGTAATAATACATTTGATGAATTTTGAAGAATCGTTCCCAGAACAATAAAACTAAATTAGCGAAATGTTATTCGTAAATGAATGAGTTGCATTCAACAAACTAAAGTTCTGTATTGTTTTAAATTGCCCAAGACTCACTGTAATTTTCCAATGAAGTTTTAGAATGTTGCTCTTATGGTTGTCTATACTGTGCAGATGTTCCGTGTCATTTCTTACACATGTATTCTTTAAGGTGCAGATCATCTTTTCACATATAATCTAAAGTATTGTGGAAGGTGTTACATGAAAACCTGAAGAATAAAGTATACTTGACTCACATTCTTCATAGTTATAAACAAATTAATTTTGAAGTTAATGTGGAGGAAGGTGAGATTTCTAAAGAATAGATCTTCCCATCCAGCAAACAAGATGTGTATATCATGATTTCCTATGATGCTATTCTGTTTTATTTGTACGTTTTTCAACGATAGTTTCTAAACTTGTTTCAATAGTGTTCTATTGCCTAGACTGGTTAGTCTATTTGTTACTGTTTGATATTATAGGTTTATAAAACAGTATCGATAATTAAAATGGATGCTAGTTAACTGCAACAGAATTGAAATAAGCACTAGTGATGTGTGCACGTGGATGGTTTGAGGTGAAATAAATCATTCCATTACTTGTGTATTCAATAACGTTTTACACAATTAACCTTAAAGCTAATTAATCCTATAAACATGTTCTAATCCACTGAATGTGTTTATTAATCATGGGTGTATTGAGAAGTTATCCTGCTTAGAGAAGATTAGCTTAATCATCAAATATAACATGTATGGTTGAATTTGAGTTGAAAAATAAGCTGTACATGTAGCTGTTTGTATTTTGTATGGCATTCAATAACGTAGGTATTGGGATTAACTTCAATAATTTATACTTCATGGATATCTAAGGACATCGATCACACTAGGAAGTACAGAGATGTGATGCAATCTCGGTCATTGATATGTATGCTTAGAATAAAGTCTCAATTCGAATCTGAGCGGAAAATCTCTTGACCCGAAATGAATGTTTACGAGATAATCCGTGATCTATATTTGTAAGTACATTTATATTTGGTTTTAGTTATTAAGATTCGTGACAGGAACACGTAGCCATAGATTAAAATAAGATCATGTCTCTGTTCTCCATGCATAGTTTTCTAAAACGAATGGTAAGCAGACATGATTTAGAGTAGAACTGTGAAGTCTTCCAATTTCTGAACTGATCAGCCAGACTTCAAAAAATAATAGATATACTTTGAGACAAATCGGTTTGGACCTGAGACACAGGAGGGAATCGTAAATGACAGTTTTCGGACTCCTCGTTTTAGCAAACCAAACCCGATATGAATACTTGAGAAGCAACAGCTGTGAGAGTTCAATCCACCAGTTGAAATTGTGTTATTCATTAACAATAACAAATGATGAAGTGTGAGAATTCAGGTGAACAGTTAGGGTTCTTGTGTCACGTGTTTGCGATTTATCTGTGGTTATTGGTAATTTTTGCAGTTATTTGTGGCCAACGGAGTATAGTTCGATGCTTTTTTCAGATTGACAGTTAACTTTTCATTCAACTGAGAACTAGGAATGCTATTCCTCAAAAAGTTTATTTCAACGACTCAGTTTGTGCAGTGAAGGTTTATTCTTTTGTTCGGTTTGTGTTGCGTTATCTTTATATCTGTCAATAACTTTACTGCGTTATAAACATTCTAAGAATCTATTGGGTATTGTAACTTTATCATAACTTTCTGAATAATGATGGACATCTACGACATTTCAATAACTACCCATCATTTAATATTCTCCGAATAAGAGGTATCTACCTGTATCATAATCGTCTTCTTAGATTTTGTCACGTTATATAAATTATTGGTTGGTTAGCGTATATAGATAATGTATGTAACTTCATGCTATTATAAAACAGAGATTTGTTCTCTTGAATATTTGAAGTTGCAGGAAAGAATACGGTTTGGATTAAAGTGTAAGTAGTTTACGACTAATGATTGACTGAATGTCTATCTACAGAATGATTTGATAATTCTAAATACATTTGAAATCATGAGTCAATTGAAGCTAGACCACCATCGAAAACCTGGAAACACTGGACGGCCGTTTCGTCCTATTATGGGTCTCCTCAGCAGTGCGCACCCACGATCCCGCACTCACAAGATTTAAACCCAGGACCGACCAGTCTCGCGCCAAAGCACTTGACCGACAGACCACCGAGCCGGCTGTCATCCAATGGTGTTAATGTCTAACTGCAACCGATCCACGAAATTGAGCAACCATTCACTAATGTCATCAGTGAGTTGATATCTCCCAACAGACCTGGTTGAAATTCACTGGTTACTGCTTCTCACTAGAACTCCAGGAAATACCTCATGGAGCCAGTCACTAGTGAGCACATGATCATTATTTGAAGGGGTTCGGTGTCCAGTGCTTCCAGGTTTTCGATGTTGGTCTAGCTTCAATTGACTCATGATCTCAACTTTATAAAATTACTAAAATTTCCACGAAACCCCTTTTGATAATTTTGAATACAACTAAATTTAGTTTGTAATGAAAAGTACTGTAGAATAAACTATGAGTCGATTACTTTTTAATACCTTCGGTGCTTTATAAAAATTCTGGATAAAAGTATGCGAAAAATAATTTATCATAATATATCACCCTTGCATATTTCATCTTTTAAGTAGTTTAAACAGTACATGTGTCTTAATCGGATCATGTATCAAATCACATGAGATTTCAACATTGAATGATTTTCATATGAGATGAAAATTAGAATTAGATTAGGAATTTGAATGTTTTACAATGCACACAATTATTTCGATTATTATTATCATTATGTACCTCTAAAATTTTGAAATCACGTTACAGTCATGTTTATGTACAAACACGAGCTTAGTTCTGAATTCCACCAAGGAATTCTGGTATTTTTATTGAATTGTGGCGAATGTCGTTCGCTTTGGCAGATAGACAGATCTGGAAGTGGATTCAGATGTTAATTTCTGATATTGTTGTATACTGTTTTTCGCTTCCTGTCTCAGTTGATACAACTTCTCCTAGAAGGATGTGTGTTCTGTATTAGTCTTGGCGATGCTGTTTCTCAAAAATAGGCTGAAACTAAGCACCAATGAAAACGAAATATAGTCAGCTGTTTCATGGAACACCGATTTAAATCAGTTACATCTGTTTTTACTTTATTTTTTTCACTTATCTCTTTTTGTGTGGTTCATTATATTACTTACTAATACTCAGTAGTGTGATTCAACCATTTTTAAAATGTGGATTTGTGATTGTAATAACTTCGATGGTTGAACAACTCATGAGTTCATCTAAGCTAGACCACCAGTGAAAACCTAGGAGCATGGGACTCCTCAGCAGTAGGCACCCGCTATCCCAAATGAGGTACTTGAACAGAATACCGGTCTCACGCGCTAACGCTTAACCTCTAGACCACTGAGCCGGCATCCATCGATTTTAATGTCCCATACTGGGTCGTTGTTAACTGGATGCTAGTGTTACGAATGAAACAAATAAACGATTCGGTGATGAATAACATTTCACAGACAATTTAATTAATTTGTTAATTTTGCGAATTCTATAAACATTTCAGACTACTGATTAACTACTAGTTCAATCCATTCAAATTTACTGATTGACAAATCATTTAGGACGAAATGTAATTTACCATTATTACTGTTTTTTTATAATGATAATTATTATTATGACTATTATTGCAACTTTGTTCCTGGATTGTCGTTTAACTAGTTGATGTTGAATGAATCAGTTTATCCCCACCGTTTCGTTTACTTCATTGCATCGACAAAGCAGACAATTCTCCGCTACAGTCAGCAACAGGCATAAGTATTTTACAGCAACACCAAACAGTCGTTAAACCATTATAAATCAACATTCAGTCTCAATTTGCAAACTGGACAAATTATTCTTGTTTCAAGTCATGATTGTAGCGTTTATTTTCTAGGGAATTTTCCAACTGAAAAGTTGGTAGACCTAATAATCGTTTTCTTTAAGTTGTGCAAGTTGCACTTTAGAGAAAAGTACTTTTAAATTCATTCATCACATCTGCATTGATGAACACGTTGGATCAGATGCAGATGTGAGGGCGCGGATCGGCAAAGCAAGAGCAGCATACCTACAGCTGAAAAACATCTGGAGCTCAAAAAAATTGTCAACCAACACCAAGGTTAGAATTTTCAATACAAATGTCAAGACAGTTCTTCTGTATGGGGCAGAGACGTGGAGAACTACGAAAGCCATTATCCAGAAGATACAAGTGTTTATTAACAGCTGTCTACGCAAGATACTTCGGATCCGATGGCCAGACACTATCAGCAACAAGTTACTGTGGGAGACAACAAACCAGATTCCAGCGGAGGAAGAAATCAGGAAGAAGCGCTGGAAGTGGATTGGGCACACTTTGAGGAAATCACCCAATTGTGTCACCTCACATGGAATCCTGAAGGTCGAAGGAGAAGAGGAAGACCAAAGAACACATTACGCCGAGAAATAGAGACAGACATGAGAAGAATGAACAAGAACTGGATAGAACTAGAAAAGAAGGCCCAGGACAGAGTGGGTTAGAGAAAGCTGGTCGGCGGCCTATGCTCCATTGGGAGTAACAGGCGAAAGTAAGTAAGTAAGTAACTTAACAGTATGCTGCGTTTAAAGTGAAACCTCTACAATAATTATTAGTATAACAAATATCTTATATTCTTTTAAATTTCAGTTTAACTCCAGCTTATCTTTTAGTTTTGATATTGTACACTGGATTATTTATTCATGCTTATGTTGGTCCAATGTATCCACAAACTCCCAATTTGATGGATGTTAAATTTTGTCGTGATCATTGGTGGGTAACATATTTGAATAATTTTATATATTCGGATGAATTAGTAAGTGATTGACAAGTTGTTCTATGTAACTTTTGTTTCATTTATCGTTGTAACATGATTCACACAATATTCATTATAGACAAACATTAAACTGAGATAAAAACAAGAACGATATTAAGCGCAGAATACGATAAATTTATTGTACTTCATTACCTTATGTTCGGCTACATCAATCATCATAAACCTGTTTTGGTAACTTCGTTTGATATTCTGCAAATCAAAGATGTGCAGAAATAAGTCACTTACATCTTGTTTACTTTTCATACATATAATGGAAAATTATAACAAACAAACAGACGGCAAAGATCAAAATAGTTGAATGGATGTCTCCACAGTCCTCGTCCATAATATTCACTCTGAATGGTATTTGCAAGTTTTCGTATAAAGACAAAATACTCTTTGAACTAAAACAAAATAATGTTTCTTGAATAAACAAACCTGTACATAGAAGCAACTTTGTGGTTAGTGAATGCTCAATGAAAACAACAATGAAAATATTTTTCCGAGTGTCTGAAATCGCTGTAAACTGAAAATGATGCATTCATTCGTCTTGGAAATCAGATGTATGAATCTGTATGGTTTTAGTGCTTTATAATTGCAACAGATATCATCTTCCCTGACACTATGAGCTTCATTGGGAATTAATGAATATGTCTCATGATGAAAATTATGTATATCTATGACTGGATGAAGTGAAAATGAAAATCAGTGACTAGTTCGAAACACAGCTACAAAATTTAGTAAATCGAAGCTTATGGTATTATTGAGTAGCTCATGACATAATATGAGAATTGGTTTTGATACATCGTAGACTAATCATGGAAAGTGCTAATTCTTAGAAAAGGGGATTCGAATGTTTACAGCAATTGAAAAAAGTGGTATTTCAATTGTACATCGACTATCTAATCTTTCTAATAAAATATAATAATCCCAATGAGTGTAAACACCGATTTTTCTGATGTTTCGTGACTCGGAGTAAGTCACTTCTTTTGACAATTAATAACTAAACAAAATCCTACAATCTCCACTATTCCTCCATACTACTTCAAAGTAACCTGAGGAGTTTAAATAGTGAAAGATAGTAAGGCAAAAATATTCAATACAATTAATCAAAACGTGTCTGACCAGGTCAACGTAACGTCACTCCGGTCACGACGATTTCTATGACACATGTTAGTGCTTTTTTTTGTGTTGATGTTTGTGGAAAACGTGACATTCGTAATATGAAAGAAACGAGCTATATTCGTATGATAATTATATAAGATGTGCATGGATTTATACATGGTAGCTCAGATAGATAATCCAAGTCAAATGAATAGTTATGCTTTATTTTCATCTTATTCATTTTTGCTTCATATCTCTTTGGTGGACAATTATCTCTCATATTTCTGACTGTCAAACTATTTCCACCCTCCCAATCTTCTCTAATCCCTTGATCGAAACACGACCTTCTTTTGATATTCGACTTCTCAAATCCCTTCATTATGCCATCTCTCCTATTACTCTATTGACTCATGTTTGGCTGACATTATTAGCAACGTATCATTCCCTTGATCATTGTGATACTCTCAAAATCCATCATAGGGTGTAATGTGACTTGGCAGTTCACCATTATCTCTTGCATATTATTAGTAAATATGTACTTATTACTATGTTGAGAGATTGGCCCTTGAGAACAACTTGTATTAGATGCTGAAGATATCTTGCGTATTCAGCAGCATCAGGAAACGATGTTATGAAACTAATCAACTTACATCCATCCATTTGGATTGGTTGACCACTCAGCTAGTATTAGATAAGTTATTAACGTTCAGAGTTTAGAGATAAGGTGAACATTAAAGGCATTATTGGCCTTTATATTACCTTTCGAAAAAGTAATGGCTGACAGCTTCGTTTCTAGAACCATTCATTTCATTGGAAGGCAGTAAGATTTTAAATATTAAAAACAAAACAAAAGTCACCATGTTTTATATGTCGTATCACATATTTAGTAGCAAACAACTAGAAATACAAATATACAATTTAAGTAGGTGATCTCGTCGAAAAGAAAATTTCTTTCTCTGAATTGTCTTTAGTTTTGTCAACGACACGATGGGCTGCTTCAGTTACTCTCATTTTCTTTTGATTTAACAATATAAGGAAAGCTTCAACTGCATGTATCTTCTAATGTTTAGTAAAACCATTTTGTATTATTTTGATATACTCGATATTGACGAGAATGTGTTATATAAGAAACCTCGAGCGGATTGATACGTTGACTTGGTCGGACATGTTTTTGATTGATTGTATTGAATATTTTTGCCTTACTATCTTTCACTATTTAAACTCCTCAGGTTACTTTGAAGTAGTATGGAGGAATAGTGGAGATTGTAGGATTTTGTTTAGTTATTAATTGTCAAAAGAAGTGACTTACTCTGAGTCACGAAACATCAGAAAAATCGGTGTTTGCACTCATTGGGATGTTATAAATATATTACATCTTGATAAAAATCCACCCAATGCTCAGTTTATTTGAAACGGTCAAGTCAAATTTTGGCAATGACACCTATTGAATGTTTGTTGTTCATTGTTAACATTCACTATTTCTGTGCATATTCATTGAAATAATGGTTGGAAATTTAAAAGAAAAACATATCTTTTTAGACATCAAATTCACAAGTTAAATTATTTTAATAGTTGAATTGATGAGTCGGTTTGAGCTAGACCACCATTGAAAACCTGAATGCTCTATTCGATATCTTTCATGTTTACAAATTGCTCATGATTTATTTTTTCTGAAAATTATTCATTTTTTTAGTGCATGGGATGGTCATGGTATTTATCCAATGAAATTCAGTTTTCAATTGTATTATCTCCAATATTCTTATCTTTAATAGCATGGTAAGAAAGCTGTGACAGTTTAGTTGAATACTGCTGATATTGCTGTGTAAATTATAATAAGTGAACTTGTATAAAGAAAAGTATCATTTATTGTTTGTTAACTTTCACTTGAATTTAAAATATTTTCCTAATAGGTGAATAATTTTCAGTTGAAACACCAAATTCCATGCAAGTAAATATTGATGAATACTATCTTCCTGTGCACAAATATGGCCAAAACTCATTAGTGAGGTAAATGAGATACCACTGTGGATAAATGAATTGTTGTTGTTGTTACATCTGTTACTCGTTTTTGAGGAGCATATGTTGCCCAACATGATTCTCCACCGAACTCTATCCTGAGCGATTCTTCCCGGTTGTTTCCACGTGGTATTCATGCTTTCGATGCCCGTTTCTGATTCCGGACGCGATATGTTGCTTGGCCTTCCTCTTTTTCTTTTCTCTTCAAAATTCCAAATTAGTGCTAACCTCATGACGCAGCTTAGTGGCTTCCGAAATGTATATCCAATCCACCTCAAGCATGTTTCCTCAACTTCCTGTTGTTTTGTTCTCTGCCAGAGTAGGTTGTTACTGATGGTATCCGGTCAACGGACATTGAGTATCTTGTGTAGACTATTTTTTATAAATAATTATACTGTTTTGATGATGGTTGTAGTAGTTATCGAAGTTTAAGACCAATCCAATGACCTATCGTGATGTTCGTATTGAAGATCCAGTCTTCGATGTTGATTGACAGTTATTTTTAGGTCCATATGTTATTCAGCTGTAGGAATGCGGCTGTTGTTTTGGTAATTCATGTCTTCACATCTGCATGAGATTCTCCTTGTTTATCAATGATGCTGTTCATGTACGTCAAAGCTTCCACCTCTCCCCGAGCTTTTTCATTAAGTGTGGTTGGATCGATGTTATCTGTATTGTATTTGAGGATTTTGCTTTTTCCCTTTTGTATGTTAAGGCCTACTGCCGCAGAGGCTGCTGCCACACTGTCAATTTGACTTGTTGGTGTGTAGGGGATAGAAGGGCCGGGTCATCTGCGATGTCAAAATCTTCTAAAAGTTTCTGAGCTGTCCATTGTATTCCATGCATTCTCTGAGATGTCGAGGTCTTCATAATCAAGTCAACCATCAGAAGTAAAAGAATGGAGGGAAACTAGGCATTCTTGTCTGACACCAGTCCTCACTTGGAATGCATCTATCATCTGTCTTCCATACACGACTTTTCACTGTATTCCATCATATGAATTCCGGGTAATGTTGACGATTTCCTCGGGTGCATCACAGTGTCGAAGAAGTTTCCATAATGTCCTCCTATCCATACTGTTAAATGCTTTCTCGTAATCAAGGAATTTGATGTACGAAGACGAGTTCCATTTAATTGATTGTTCAACAATAATCCTAATCCATTGTTTAAAAACGTGGAGGATTCTGATCAGTAAGCTTATACAGGTAATCGGAAAATCTCTGTCTGTTTAACAAGTAATTGTTGACTACAATATAATTTACTTTTCTTGTTGTTAATGTGGTTCACGTAGCCCAAGTTCTGAATTTCAGTTTTCTGAAGTTTATACTTAAACATTTATATTCCAGTTGATTCCTGAAAATTCAATTGCACATATAAGCTGAATTCAGTCAAGATGTTTTCAAGTTATACGTTTATCATTCCAACTTATTCTCAGCTGTCTAAATTTCCAGAGAAAATCAAGCAGTCGTCTAATTCATTTGTGTTCCAAACGCTTTAAAATCTTTGAAACTTCTTGGAAAGTCACAATACAGAACTAAAATCTATTGTTGATATTCTTGAGTAGATTGAAGTGAACACTTTAGACATCTAATCTGCATTTCTTATTGGATGCAATAAGACCGCATTTTTTAACATAACGTTATGCATTATTTATGACTAGCCTTTTTGTTTCATATACTATTTTGTCTTATTATTACATTTATGATTTACTTTCAATAATGTTTAGGAATGATACCATTGGTGTATTGTTTGGTATTGGACTTGTAATTTCCAGTATCGGATCTACATTTGGCATATCTTATGCGAATGATTATTTACCTGGTTCACTATCTCTGTAAGTTGTTAAATGTTACAACTTATATTTACTCAATCCTCCGGGATACCACTAAGGTTGTATAGACGTGTACAAATTAAAAATCGCTGTGCTACAAAAATGAATAAATAATTTTATTGAGTAATAGATGACTGAATAATAGATGACAATATCTAATAATTACTTCCAGGTACTGATAACAACACTACTATCGATCATAAATAGAAAATAAATTGATTTTCAGCTTAATGGAGCACTGGGAACAGCCTTAGCAAAAAATTTATTTAATTTCGATAATGTAATAAGAAACTCCGCCCGTAGCTCCTCTGGGGGTTACTGCCGAACCCAAGCCCGGGTAAAGGAGGAGGGTTGGGCATGGGGTTAGCGACCCCATCCCGTAGAAAAGCTAACTCGCTAAAAAAACGCTAACCAGAAAAAATAATTCAAACCATTTAAACTCTGCCCTCCAAGTTGAAGGAATAATTATGACGTCTCATGATGAAAGCCGAAATTCTTCGGAAGTCACGAGACCGATGCACATTCTAACAACCAGAGAAACACTTTGTAGGTACATGGAACGTCCGGACAATGTGGTAGACAGGAAAGACCAGTCAAATAGCAATGGAAATGAGGAGATACAACTTGGCAGTACTCGGAATCAGCGAAACCCATTGGACACAAACTGAACAGCAAAGGCTAGGTACAGCAGAGATGCTGCTGTACTCCGGTCACGAAGGGGAAAATGCTCCACACACTCAGGGAGTTGCTCTAATGCTGTCCAAAGAAGCACAAAATGCACTTGTGGGATGGGAATCTCATGGACCCAGGATAATCAAAGCATCATTCAAAACAAAGAAGCAAGGGATCACAATGAACGTTATCCAATGTTATGCACCCACCAATGATAGCAATGACGATGATAAAGATCAGTTCTATGAAAGGCTGCAATCAATTTTAGCAAAGTGCTCACGAAAGGACCTCACCATCCTGATGGGAGATCTAAATGCTAAAGTTGGAGTGGACAACACAGGATATGAAGATGTAATTGGACGACATGGATTAGGAGAGAGAAATGAAAATGGGGAGAGACTTGCAAACCTATGTGCATTCAACAAATTGGTTATAGGCGGCACAATATTCCCACACAAACGCATACACAAAGCTACATGGATCTCACCGGACCACACCACAGAGAACCAGATTGATCACATCTGTATCAACAAAAAATTCCGAAGATCAATGGAAGATGTGAGAACCCGGAGAGGAGCTGACATAGCTTCAGATCACCACCTGGTTGTGGCCAAGAAGAGACTGAAGCTAAAGAAACACTGGAAAACTGGACAAACAGCACTACAAAGGTTTAATACAGCCTTCCTTCGAGATACTGACAAGCTCCATGAATTCAAGATAACTCTCAACAACAGGTTCCAAGCTCTACAGGATCTACTGAAAGAACAAGAAACTACTTTGGAGGACAACTGGAAAGGGATAAAAGAAGCACTAACTTCAACGTGTCAGGAGGTTCTTGGTCCTAAGAAGCATCATCACAAGGAATGGATCTCTATGGGAACCCTGGACAAAATTCAAGAAAGGAAGAACAAGAAACTAGCAATTAACAACAGCCGAACACGAGCAGAGAAAGTCAAAGCACAAGCAGACTACGCGGAAGCAAACAGGGAAGTGAAGAAAAGCATTAAAGCCGAGAAGCATAAATACATGGGAGAACTAGCAACGGCGGCGGAAAAAGCTGCAAGAGAAGGGAATATGAAACAACTATGATACAACGAAGAAATTGGCAGGGAGATATAGCAAACCAGAGAGACCAGTCAAAGACAAAGCAGAAAAGACAATCACTGAGATTCAAGAACAGAGGAAAAGATGGGCAGAATACTTTGAGGAACTGCTGAATAGACCAGCCCCATTGAATCCACCGAACATCGAAGCAGCCCACACAGACCTTCCAATAGATGTCACTCCACCAACGATCGAAGAAGTCAAGATGGCTATCAGACAAATCAAAAGTGGGAAGGCGGCAGGATCTGACAATATACCAGCAGAAGCACTGAAGTCAGACATTGAAATAACTGCAAATATGCTTCACCTGCTATTCAAGAAGATTTGGGAAGAGGAACAAGTGCCAACGGATTGGAAAGAAGGATATCTCATCAAGATACCAAAGAAAGGAGATCTGAGCCAATGTGAGAACTACAGAGGTACCAGTTTGTTATCAGTACCAGGAAAAGTTTTCAACAGAGTGCTGCTGAATCCGATGAAAGACGTGGTAGACGCCGAACTTAGGGATCATCAGGCTGGATTCCGTAAGGATCGGTCGTGCACAGTCCAGATTGCGACACTACGGATCATCGTTGAACAATCAGTTGAGTGGAACTCATCACTATACGTCAACTTTATTGACTATGAGAAGGCGTTTGACAGTGTGGACAGGAGAACATTATGGAAACTTCTTCGACACTATGGAGTTCCTGAAAAGATTGTCAACATTATCCAAAACTCATACGATGGACTACAGTGCAAAGTGGTGCATGGAGGACAGCTGACAGATGCATTTCCAGTAAGGACCGGAGTCAGACAAGGCTATCTACTCTCCCCATTCCTCTTCCTTCTAGTGATTGACTGGATTATGAAGAATTCGACATCTGGCGGGAAATATGGAATACAATGGACTTCTCAGAATCAATTAGATGATTTGGACTTCGCAGATGACCTAGCCCTCCTCTCTCATACACACGACCAAATGCAGATGAAGACAGCAAATGTAGCAGCAGCCTCCGCATCGATAGGCCTCCACATTCACAAAGGGAATAGCAAGATTCTCAAATGCAACACGGAGAACACCAATCCAATCACACTTGATGGCGAAACTCTGAAAGAGGTGGAAACATTCAAGTACCTGGGGAGCATCGTTGATAAACAAGGGGGATCGGATGCAGATGTAAAGGCGAGGATTAGCAAAGCAAGGGCAGCATTTCTACAATTGAAGAACATATGGAACTCAAAACAACTCTCAACCAATTTCAAGGTCAGAATCTTTAATACGAACGTCAAGACAGTCCTACTGTATGGAGCTGAAACGTGGAGAACTACTACGGCCATCATCAGGAAGGTACAAGTATTTATAAACAGTTGTCTACGCAAAATACTCAACATCCACTGGCCGGATACTATCAGCAACAGCGTTTTATGGGAGAGGACAAACCAGCTTCCAGCTGAAGAGGAAATAAGGAAAAGACGTTGGAAGTGGATCGGACATACATTGAGGAAATCACCAATGTGCATCACGACTCAATCCCTAACTTGGAATCCGGAAGGGAAGCGGAAAAGAGGAAGGCCAAAGAACACACTACGCCGGGAAATAGAAGCCGATATGAAAAGGATGAATAGCAACTGGAAAGAACTGGAAAGGAAGGCTCAGGACAGAGTTGGATGGAGAATGCTGGTGAGCGGCCTATGCTCCTCCACAAGGGGTAACAGGCGTAAGTAAGTAATGTAATAAGAAGACGAAGATTATCAGAACTATGTGATGAAATATTAACGCAATACATTTCGAACAATCTGATCGCACATATACTTGTTAAGAACATTTATATATGAAAATAAAAGGTCCATTAGACTGGTAATAATGTTAAGAAATAGACAAGGATAATAATGATAAAATAATGTGAAAACAACTTGACACCTAATCACTCTGGATAATAAGCATTTATTACCAGAGTAGGTTTAAGGAGAGAACAAACTGTTTTTGAATACACAAAGGGGGTTTGAATTTTCGTATGGCTAAGGCTTCAATAAACCTCAATATACGCCCTTTAACACTTTTAAACAACACAACAAAAGCTGAGTTAAGATCAATCTTATGACCTGTTTCGATTATATGTTTAGCAACAGAGGATGATGGATGTTTATCCTCTACTCTTATTGGGTCATTCGACTGTATTTGTTTTTGCAACCACTTTGGTACATGTTCACCCACCCTAATTTTCAGATCACGATTGCTCCTACCTATGTATGTGTGACCACACACACATTTAAATTGGTAAACGCAGTGGGATGTGACACAATCGTTTTCATGTCGTCTAGGTTTTGAATGAAGCATGGACCTTGTTCTTTCTTTGATCATGACCTTTGCTGCACAATATGTTTTGTTGATGACTGATTTAAGCCTTTGTTTCAGTAAAAGGTTATTTGAATCACCTCTAAATGGTAAGGTGATGTAAACAGGCTTTTCCTCTACGAAGGCTACAGCAGGTCTCGCTGTGTCCATAACTTTCCATCTATTGATAAATTTAGGTGGATAACCATTCCCGATTAATGTCATGGTTAACAACTTAACATCGTCATCAATAGCGTCGTTTGTGCAAATACGACGAAGCCTGTTAAAAAGGCACTTTACCAAACCACGTTTGCATTGCACAGGGCAATAACTATAGTAACTAAGATATTGACCCGTCCACGTCGGTTTTCGAAAAATGGATCGTTTTATTGAGCCATCTTCTCGTCTGCTTAGAAGTACATCTAGGAAGGGGAGTTGGTCGTTCTTCTCCTCTTCGCATGAAAGACTGATATGGTTTTGAATAGTGTTCAATTTATTCAATAGGCAGTTTATGTATTCCATTCTTTCGCCAATTACTAAGATATCGTCCACATATCTCTTATAAAGTGACATGTTTTCGATTAAGTCTTCAGATAAATTTTCCACATGTGCCATAAACACATCTGCTAGTAATGGCCCTAACGGACTACCCATAGCGACCCCATCAATCTGGCGAAAGTATTCGCCTTCAAAATTGAACTGAACTTTATCAGTACATAAAAGTAATAACTTTTTAAGAATTTTTAAGGGAATAGGTAAATTAAGGTTGTCTGAAAATATATAGTCACATAAAATTTCAATAGTCTTTTTTAAAGGTACATTTGTGAGTAAGGAATTCACGTCAAATGAGCACATAGTTTTTCTTTTGATATTAATGTCACCTAAAAGATCGACCAGTTCAAAAGAATCCTTTAGAGAATACTTACATAAACGTCGTCGAATAGGATCCAATAATTTTGTTAGCCATTTGGCTAGGTTATGTGTGGATGATCGGCACATTGATAAAATTGGACGTAAAGGAATATTTAATTTATGAATTTTGGGTAGTCCATATAAATGAGGATACTCAGAGCCCATAGGTTTTAACAAATTAAATTCCTCTTTATCAATAACATTCATGAGTAACAATTTTTCCAGGTATGAATTTACTCTTCCCTCTAGTTTGTTAATACCTCCGAATTCAACATCAGGCATGAATCTACTTTCATCACTGAGGATGGATAACATCTTATCCTTATATTCACATTTGTTCATGATAACCACGCCTGATCCTTTATCAGGCTTCAACAAGACAATATCAGTGTTTGTTCGTAGTTCTTTTAGTGATTTAAAATGTTGAGAAGTTAATATGCTTCTCTGCTTAGGTCCAGCATTATGAAATCGGTGTGCTATATCCACCAGTTTAGCTTTACACCAGCTTTGATTACTTAAAGACGTAGGGGTTAGAGTACTCAGTTGGTCATATAGATTTTCAAATTGGGCATTTATTCCCAATTCAGACATTTGCGTTATAGGTACGGAGAAATTAAAACCAAGAGAAAGTGCTTCCTTTTCATTAGCCGATAACAGAATGGAAGATAAATTAGTGACATACTTATCAGGATTAATTGGGAATAAATTATTATGATTAGTATTAATGCACGATTTTTCGAGCTTTTCTCGGATCCTTTCCTTTGTCTTCAAAATGACCGTACTGCAAAAGTTGATGAATTTAATATGGCATATTATAGATAGTTCTGTTAATATAGGCAATGCTTGAGTGTGCAATTCGATTAAATTGATCAATTTATCTTGGCAATTATCTATATATGATTTGGACAGTCGAACGAGATTTGAAATATTTGGTTGCAATTTACTTGAACGTAAATTCTTATGTTTGGGAATATGTGACTCGACAAACAAGATTTATAAAAGTTCAGTTTCGCGCGCTCGATACAATTTTACATTTAAGGTTGAAAAGTTCATCTAACCTCTTGATAGTATATGCAGGGAGTCTTCTTTTAAGAAATTTAAAGCAATTAGTCCCTTTGATAAATTTCGATAATGTAATAAGAAGACGAAGATTATCAGAACTATGTGATGAAATATTAACGCAATACATTTCGAACAATCTGATCGCACATATACTTGTTAAGAACATTTATATATGAAAATAAAAGGTCCATTAGACTGGTAATAATGTTAAGAAATAGACAAGGATAATAATGATAAAATAATGTGAAAACAACTTGACACCTAATCACTCTGGATAATAAGCATTTATTACCAGGGTAGGTTTAAGGAGAGAACAAACTGTTTTTGAATACACAAAGGGGGTTTGAATTTTCGTATGGCTAAGGCTTCAATAAACCTCAATATACGCCCTTTAACACTTTTAAACAACACAACAAAAGCTGAGTTAAGATCAATCTTATGACCTGTTTCGATTATATGTTTAGCAACAGAGGATGATGGATGTTTATCCTTTACTCTTACAACCAACTCCCCTTCCTAGATGTACTTCTAAGCAGACGAGAAGATGGCTCAATAAAACGATCCATTTTTCGAAAACCGACGTGGACGGGTCAATATCTTAGTTACTATAGTTATTGCCCTGTGCAATGCAAACGTGGTTTGGTAAAGTGCCTTTTTAACAGGCTTCGTCGTATTTGCACAAACGACGCTATTGATGACGATGTTAAGTTGTTAACCATGACATTAATCGGGAATGGTTATCCACCTAAATTTATCAATAGATGGAAAGTTATGGACACAGCGAGACCTGCTGTAGCCTTCGTAGAGAAAAAGCCTGTTTACATCACCTTACCATTTAGAGGTGATTCAAATAACCTTTTACTGAAACAAAGGCTTAAATCAGTCATCAACAAAACATATTGTGCAGCAAAGGTCATGATCAAAGAAAGAACAAGGTCCATGCTTCATTCAAAACCTAGACGACATGAAAACGATTGTGTCACATCCCACTGCGTTTACCAATTTAAATGTGTGTGTGGTCACACATACATAGGTAGGAGCAATCGTGATCTGAAAATTAGGGTGGGTGAACATGTACCAAAGTGGTTGCAAAAACAAATACAGTCGAATGACCCAATAAAAGTAGAGGATAAACATCCATCATCCTCTGTTGCTAAACATATAATCGAAACAGGTCATAAGATTGATCTTAACTCAGCTTTTGTTGTGTTGTTTAAAAGTGTTAAAGGGCGTATATTGAGGTTTATTGAAGCCTTAGCCATATGAAAATTCAAACCCCGTTTGCTTACCTCTCAATGATGAGTCAGTTCACAACTTAGATTATTAAAGAAACGTTACTGGGAGTTAGAAGCTATTTTGATTTTGTTAAAATTCATCAGTCTCAGATGTCCGTCCTCCTCTCGTAACACAAAAGCATTTCTGTGATTACCAATAATCAAAATAAATGGAGAATACGTCAATCTGGTGAACAACGGATTTTGTAGTTACATTTTATTCAATCCAACTAGTATGTGATTTAGAAAAGTAATGTAGATTTGTGGAGTTTCTTAGTAGTAGACTAGTGGAAGTTGTCAGGTCGTATTTGATAGTTCGTAAAGTTTGAAAACAAGGTAGCTCTAACGAATATAGATTAATAATCAATTGACGTAAATTACCGGTTGTGATATAGTCACATTGAGAAAATCAAGTAACATCAGAGTGAGCAGGAATTGTTTATTTTAAAGTCAGTGAATGAATTCTATAAACTCACTCCATTGTGAAGGTAGATATTGTCATGTCTAGAATAAGTAGGAATACTTTTTCTTCTACTGACCTAGCTAAGATATATCATCGCAACAACACGCCTACATTTCCTTCTTTAAATATAGTCTAGCTAGATATTGATGTTAGTCTTCAGTTGATTGAAAACGTTTATGCATGACTTGTTAAATATTCTCTGTAAATTAACTTATCTAGTTCATCATTCACAACTATTTACCTCAAACCGTATACACGTTGGAGTACTTATGCTATTGGTCTTTTATTGGGCTGGTTCCTCGAAAGACACATCAATATTTTGAAGGTAAGTTCTTCAACTAAATGAGATTGATGGATACAACTATTTGTGTCTACATCTTCCGTCAATCTTTTAACTTGTGTTAGTTTATTTAAATTAGCTTTTATGGGAAGAAGTGTTTTTTTAGCAGGGATATATGACTGTCACTCTTTTAACTGATACTATCTCAGACAGCCTATTGTTAAACAGTTTGTTAATTGCTCAATCTGGTTGATTTAACTCCATTTTGACTGAGATGCAAATACATTACTTAATGGGACAGATCAATAGATGTTATAGATTAAACAACTTCGAGTCCTGAGCAAAATATTTGGTATTTGTGGTGTGTGGTTAATTGTGTAATCAAGGATACTTATTTCATTCTACTTGAGTTTTGACAGTTAGCTGTACATGCAATTCACGATTGATTTTTATTACTAAACACTGTCCCAAAACATTACAATGTTTACAACTATAATCAATAGCTAGATTTTGGTTTGAGATGAACAGATATTACTCCATAGATGTAGTTTTGTGAATCAACGATGAGGAATTAAAAAGTCTTACACATGAGATATGTAGTAATTCAATAAGTTTTAGACTTGACTAGCCATTGGAATTCGTTACACAACTTAGTGTTCTGAAAGTCACTGACCTTGATTACTGTATGATTTACGTGTTTCTTCATTTTAGGTTATCTGCTCTGTGTAAATTCTTCATATGTATTTAGAGATTAAGTATACATTTTAGTGTGTATCACACACTGGCTCCAACTACTGTTGGACTTTTCATCCGTGTGTAGTATCGGTTGTTATGTTAAGCCCATATACTTTATTCTAGCTACTGGCCAAGCTAATTCACCTATATATCATGAGTCATATTTTGGTCTTGTTAATTATTTGCTTGTTAACCTTGACTACCTTTTATATGAGCGCATATGTGTACCCTTCGTATCCTATTCATCATATGTCTGTCATTCATTTTTATCTGACTATAAATGCTGATTACGCTTGCTTAAAGCGAGTTGGCTTCCCAGTCATCTCCACTATACATCATCTTTGTTTCGCTCGCAATAGATTTGGCGACCGCAACGAGCGAACACAAACCAAAATATGACTCATGATAAGTAGGTGAATTAGCTTGGCCAGTAGCTAGAATAAAGTATATGGGCTTAACATAACAACCGATACTACACGTGTCCATCATATATTCATTCGTATTTCGAATTTAGGGTCTTTTGGCTGTTCACCAACCAGTAATCTTCAGAACACTAAGTTGGTATCCATTATTAGGCCTTTCTTATTACAACCAATTTGTCTGCTGAATCTAAAATTTTCATTAACTAACATGTAACCGAATGTTCCTGTTTTGAAGGGATACTGGTTGGTCATCTGTAATAGTCAAGATGACTGACAAGTAATCATGATAATGTTCTATTTACTCATTTTATTCAATAACTTGCAGTCAGTAACGTATTTGATGTTAGATTATTTTATTGAAGCAGAAATTGTAAGAAAGCTTAATAAAAATGAATATTATTAAATAAGAATAATATATTTTCATAGTTGAAATCATGAGCCAATTGAAGCTAGACCACCATGGAAAACCTGGAAGCACTGGACGGCCGTTTCGTCCTATTATGGGACTCCTCAACAGTGCGCATCCACGATCCCGCGCTCGCGTGATTCGAACCCAGGATCTACCAGTCTCGCGACAGATCACTTCGACAGCGCAATGCTGAGGAGTCCCATAATAAAACGGAACGGCCGTTAAGTGCTTCCAGGTTTTCCATGGTGGTCTAGCTTCAATTGACTCATGATTTCAACTATGAAAATACTAAATTCTCCAAATATCCTCTTCTGATCAATAATATATTTGTAAAATCTCAACGAATGAATTTGAAGTAAATCCAACGTCCAAGATTCTTCAAGATATTTCCTTGAAAAAGCTTGAACTAGATTGCCTGGCGAAACGTTGGATTTACTTCAATTTCATTAGCTGAAATTTTACAAATATATTCTTCTTCCTATTTAATGTCTTGGATCAACTCGGCGCCCAAATACTGTCAAACTATTCGCTCTAATGTAGACGAAAGTTATTATATAAATGAATATTATTGTTTATTAAATCAAGTTTTTTAAAATGAAATTCACAAAAGGCTATGGGTTTTAAGCTTTTTATTAATTTATATGCTCACTAATAAAAATTTCCGTCTGAAAATGAATGTCGTTACATTATTTATGAATCATTACATTGACAATCAATGATATAAGAATTTATATTTCTTGTTTGTATATACATAACGAACTAAGGGTTTCGTTAGCAGAGGAGATTGGAATCCAGGATTTTCGGTCTCATACATGAACACCCAATCTCTAAACTAGTAAGCCGTTGTAGCGAACAACCATTCAGAATTGAAATGTTAAAGTTAAATAGATTAAGGGCTTTTAATTTATAAAGATTAGGATCATGTACATTAAGAGATTTTTTGTTGACTTTACAGTTTTATCAAATATACTTTACTAGTTAACGAATTATGTCAATAAATCATCTGGTGATTTCAAAGTGGGATATAATCTATTATATACGTTGACTGGGAGAAATCGTTTTACGAAAATTTTCCATATTGTTTCAATAGACATTTTATTCTTTTATCAATAAAACCATACTGGTATCATTATATAGATGATACATATTAAATATATTACACTAGTTTTAAAGTATATATCAACTTGATTGTCTTTCTTCACAATCCCTTACTCTATTATTAGAATGTGAATTCTAAAACGAAGGTTTTGATTGGTTTGATTGGTGTATGCCTGTCATCGATATTCTGTGTATCTACTGTATACGGATTGTATGGATTACTAAGTGGGAAGGTTGAACCATTTACAACGTTTGGAGCTGCAACCTATACAGCATTTCATCGACCTATTTTTATTCTCGGTATTGCAATCGTTGTATCGATATGTGCTCTTGGTTGTGGTGGTAAGTCATAATGTGATTAATACGATATAATTCTATATTACTCATCGTTTCTCAACTCAGAGTCCTAAAACATAGAATGTTTAAATAAAACTTAATTATGAGAACCATATCTGATTCGGAATGCTTGATGTTGTGGTCCGACAATCGACATTGTTAGCGCACTGATGAACTAAGTTGGAGGAAATCATGCTAAGTAACATTGAAGTCAGTGAATTTATATTTTTAATTAGGCGTGTTCTAAGCATTGTTTGAGTATAATAAAATCAGTAAGAGAGGAATAGATAGGTCAGATTGTAAACGTTCACTGGATGTTTTGATGCAAACGTCTAAAATAGCTATGCTGATCAGCATATGTGTTAGTTATTGAAGAACGTAAAGGAGAGTAAGACTATCATTTATGAATTATCCAATTTTAATTGGACTTACTTTAGTACAGTATTTCGTATGGTTAGTATTTTTCAGCTAGTGTTTTTTGATGTACTCTCTCCTGTACTCTTCTAGTAAAGAGAAAACGTAGGACTATATGAACCAGATAAAATAATTTGACAGTGTTCTCATATTTCATAAAGTTTGACCTTATGACAAATATATTGTGTCACATTAGTTTGAACGAATCTAAATCCCTTTTTCTACCATTCCACGTTTACAAAGGTCCGATTCAATGGATACTCACATTGTCTGTATTCCGTGTTCCTTCACGGTTGACATATACAGCTTATCTTGTACATCCGATAGTGATTCTATTCATCGCTTTAGGAAGTCAAAACCCAATATTGCTGGATGATCTGCATTTGGTGAGTCCTGTTCTGAGTTATAAAACGTAATTGAATGTTGTGAAGAGGATTCATCGAATATTCTTTTATTCGGGTCTGTTACTGATACATCTTTACAACGCAACTGACTAGCATGAATTTCGAACGGTAACAATTTTGTGTTATCTTGAATAGTTTACTTTTGAAGGAGAAATTTCTTCGAGATACTGCAGAAACCTGATTAGGTGACCGACCGTATCTACTACTTTGACGTGGTGGTCAAGCTAGCCTATCGTGACGAACAAACGGAGCTATGTTGGCTGGAACATATGTTCCTGTAGGCTCTACCATGCCAGGCAGGTCAATTGGAGAACGGTAGAACTAAAAGCAGCAACTCAAGGTCTGGGAGCAAAGTTGTACTGCTGACTGTAGAGAGGTGTGACAGCAGTAAGGTGTTTCCCTCAGAAAACCAGCATCTGCAGCGATGCTGCCTTCTAACAAGAAAAGGAGGCTGTTAGAAAAGTTTGACCCTAAAAATGTCACACCTCACCATATCCCACGGATTTCCATCTCTGACCGTAAGGCCTCTTGAAGAACGGAGCTAACACGTTTAAAACTGCCTACAAAAAGGCCGTGCATTACCGGCCTCAAACAGTTGTCCATTGGGCTCTGAGGTAAAGTTCGCAGGTTCTTAATATCAACACTAATACAAATTACTTTTCAGGTTCCTCATGAAATACCCTTCCACAATGTGGGCAAACGGGAAGTGACATCCGCCCTCATACCCTTAATAGCACACGAGATCAAGTTGGTCACATTCAAATCCTTCCTACACCTCCTAATAACTCTGTCATCTCCACGACTAACCCTTATCACGTTCCTTTATCAACTCGCGCCGCTAATGAGAACGATTTGAGTATGCGGAACGTTATTCATGGTCTCCTGGAACCACGCTCTAAACCACATACTGGAGCTCTTAACGTCTGGACATGTGGTTGTCTCAGAAAGGAATGTTTTTGTTCACTACTGGATGACATGTCTTATATTCGTTGTTTACTGGCTGACTGACTGATCAGAAGAATTACTATTCAGTTCAAACAAACTTGTATTGACTGTTGACTGTAGGGAAATTCAACATATTATTGAAATGGCTTCGAACCAAATGTTTGACGACATGTTGGAAAACAACTATGTCGAGTGATTTATAACATGAAGAAATAAATAGGGTAAAATATAAATAAGAATTGTAGGTAAATTCAGTCATTTATCAAATATCCTACATAATATTTCCTTTCCAATATTCTGGTCATTATTCTTAGAAGAAATTTCTACCGTGATGCTGAACATCACCTTAAATCTCTATGGAAACTAATCAAATCTTTTATGACCAATATCTTGCATTAATACCCACTGCATACATTCAAGTTGACAATCCACATATTTGATGTTTTTATGCCGCATCTCATGGTTACTCTGAAGGAATTCATTCTCAAGTTATTGTATCAAACACAGGTATTACTGGTCTCTTATATAGATGTTCGTCAGAACATCTCACTACAAAATCAAACTGTGGACTGTTGAAGTGAATTATTGAAGTTCATGTTGATTTCTTTGATATGAGTCAAAGTGAACTGGTGTTAAGTGTAGATGCCGATCACTGTCTATCTTTGAAACCATTGACAACTCCCGAATGCGAATTTATTTCCTAATTGAATAACTTCACAAAATAATGTCGAATAAAACAAATTGCTCCAAAATAGCCTCTGTTTTTATAAATCTGTTCAATTCCGCAGAGGGAGCCTGAGAAATGGCTACCCGATCCAAGGACAGCAGCAGGCGCGAAAATTACCCACTCCCGGCACGGGGAGATAGTTATGCGAAAAATTGTGTGACCAATATCGTGCATTAATACTCACTGCACACATTCAAGTTGACAATCCACATATTTGATGTTTTTATGCTGCATCTCATGGTTGCTCTGAAGGAATTCATTCTCAAGTTATTTTATCAAACACAGATATTACTGGTCTCTTATATTCCATAGAGTAAATTACAATTCGTAACATCTCCACCTTCTGAAATCGATGATTGATTTAACTGTGAAAAAATAAGTATTGTTGTATGATAGATGTTCATCAGAACAACTCGCTACAAAATCAAACTGTGGACTGTTGGTGTGAATTATCGAAATTCATGTTGATTTCTTTGACTTAAGTTAGACTGAATTGGTATAGAGTGTTGATGCTGATCAATGTCGATCTTTGTAAACCATCGACCACTCCCAAATTCGCATTTATGTCCCAATTGAATAAATTCACAAAGTAATGTCGAATGAAACAAACTGCACCAGAATAGCCTGTGTTTTTATAGTTCCCACTCAATTTACGTGTGGTTTTGATCGAATAAAATGTAATACATTCTTGTATAATTTCTGTCGAATTATTATGATAATATTGGTAAATAACATGATACTTGCCACCTACCCTGATTAATGCATATTTGAAGTGAAAGTTTAGGAACTGATCACTATTGAGACTGTGCTTTCTCGATTTTCCATCGTCATGTCTAACTATTTTTACAGTAAAGTAGACATTTAAACATGTTGTTCAATGTAAGATAGATCTGTTGGTGAATTTTTCTTAAATCATAATCAGTTCATTTTATTGTGTTGCTGCAAACACTGTGTTTAGTTGAATAGTCAAAGTAGTTTTTGATGATAAACCGAAATTATCCAACAGAATCCTAATCTGTTCTCATTTAATATATTTCGGAATTGAATAACGATAAAGTATAGAGTAAGTACTCTATGTTTAAGCGTGACAACTTGCATTGACTGAATTCTTCATTCAAATCTCACGATTATGTCACTGAAGGTATAAACGAATTTATTCATTTTCATTCACTGATGTTCAAACACTTTTCAAAGTTTGGAGACTGTTGTGATAAGGTAGATAAACAAAAATATATCGAATAATATTATAGTGAACCGTTTATAATATGACATTCCAAACAATCTGGAAATATACGGATGCATACATACATTGAAACAATCAATACAAATCTTAATATATATGTTCATACTGTTTAGTAGAAATCCAATTGACTGTTTTATTCTCCTTCCAGATAGTTACGTTCTGTGCAGTTCTACCAATTACCTATTTCTTGGCATACTTGGTCACACTAGCAACTGAGTCACCAGTAATAGCTATGACACATGGTTTTGGACGTGAAAAGTCTTCATCATCAGAAAGTTCCATGTAAACGAAATCAATTGATCATGATTGAAATCTAGTCAAATCAGGTTTCACTCCTTGTCTTTCTCGAAGTTATCAATTTCTATACTTTTGTAATGCTATGAAGTTTGACTCATTTCTTCTTCATAATTTTTGACTTTTATATCCATGCTAAATTAGGTTTAATTTTTTTCGAATGAGATAATGAATTATTTTGTAATATTATCTAGTAATTTTGAAATTGATCCTTTTTATTTAAAGAAAACAGGTTTCTTCCGATTGTATTTCCGTTTCCTTTATAGATCTTCTTCTTTAGTTCTATATTTGAACATTTGTGATGCAATTGCTCTGTCAATATATATATATACTTATTTCAGAAGATGAGCTTGTTTAGATTTCTTTGAAATCATAATATAAATATTATTTACTTGAAATTTTTCTTCATTTGCATTTGGTGAATTCAAGTTCTACTGCTAACAATGCAAATAACATTAAACTGACCGTGCTTAAAATTTTCTATTCTCACCGTCCTACTCACTAAGGAAACGTTTTTCCACACCTTTCCTTTTGTTATCCCCAGAACTGTCGTCTAACAGTATCGATAGTTTAGAGAAGAATTTTACTGGTTATTACTTTTTTCATCATTACGGGGACTTTTGAAGAGTGTAGTATTTTTACAGTTGAAATCACGAGGCGATATAAGCTAGATTACCATTAGAAACCTGAATATGAAAGCCAATAATTTTTGTGATGATGAACACTACGATAACAATAAGATTGAGTAATCCCTTTATTGCTACTTCCAATTCATGTTGTTTTCAGTATCGTTTCCGTCACTGGAAGCCCTTAATAACACAACAGGATCCTTCGACCGGGCGACATTTTGTCGTTCGTGATTCCCAGTTCCATCGGAATCGGAAACCGGGCTTAAGGCATGTGTGCTTTAGAATTGGCCGTAAAGCTGCCATAAGAAACCTCAATCCTTCCCAAACAAGAAGATAGTAGTATTCATTTTATAAGGCTGTTTCTCCCAGTGCTTCAACGGAATGCAGATGTCTAGCATTTATGTTTTTCAAAGCGATAGATGGATATTGGTTTTTTATTCTGTGGAAACGCGAACCACAATCATGAATGCAATGAGTCGTCTTGTCATAATATTTAATCGATGCGGAAGCTAACTTAATAGGAGTTCAAATCCCTTAGGCTTCTACTAATCGTAGGCACTCTTCCTTTTGCCGTTATCTGTAACATGCTACATGAAATGGAAACGTGTGATTTCGTTAGTTGCCATCTGAAATGCAAAGAACAAGAGTTGCTGAATGGTTTGTTCTACCACATTTCAAACTGTGGGTTGAATGAACACTTGCCAGACAGTCTCAACACTTAGTTAACATGTGGTTGGTGTTTCATCACAGAAAGACTTTAATTCAACAATGGTAAACTGGAAAAGTCTGGGGACTGAGTTGTCAGTAATCTTTTTCTAAGAGAAAAAGGTTGACACGATTTTCACATGTGCCCTATTGTAACATGTGAAACATGCAAATAAATACAAACCAGACTCCGAATCATCCTTACTAGACCTCATATCGACCCATTATGAGGATAACGTCACAAACCACTAGTGCATGCCACCCCTAGATAAGAATGACATTTCGTTCTGACCTCTGACTCCTAAATAGTTGTCAATAACCAGAATATGTCAGTCCAATTCAGACCAAACGTCTAGAAAGGGGATGTAGAAGATGTTAAACAAAACATCCCCCGTATAGTGGAGTTTAAAGCCAGAATCCTTTATTAACGCTGCTCGGGATGTATTAGGAAATTTGTGAGTAAAGGCCGCTGTACTGGATACCCTCGGGACTACATCAATGGGTCCGAGAAACTCCACCCCGTGGTTCAATAAAGAGGTTCGCATCTTTCTCCGTTAGAGGACTATGTAGAAAAGATCTTGCTTATTGGGTACTAATGAAACAAAATCTCAATATTGATCAGCCTGAAATATTTGTACCTCAACAATCCGCAAGTTTAGGAGGTTGTACCAAGTAAAACTTGTTAAGAAATCCACTGAATTCCTTAAACGTTTATACTTGTACAAATGGAAAATGACTAGGAGAAGAGAAATATCCCAGCATTATGAGGATATAATAGAACTGCATCATTGCTGGAGGATGATTATGGTAAGACTCGGGTATTTTAAAATTATTCGGCAATGCATATATCGTAAAGATGTCCTCCCCTCCAACTCATAAACCCCCTCAAATACTCTGGACACTAAGACCACTGAAGAAGCCAACGTATTTAATCTGCTAAATAAGCTCAATATAATCGAATCCATGGAATTCGATGGGATGCATCCTAGATTTCTAAAGGAATAAGCGAGTCTTGCCGCCTGGAAGAACACCATACTAAGCTATATTTTCAAAACAAGTATGGGACACGGACCGGAGAACTATCGACCCGTAATACTGACCAAGGTGGTTGTTAAAGTTTTCGAAAAGAATTTTCTGAAGGTGTTATTTAAGTGTCTATAAGGAAAGGTAATTCTTTCTGAAAAACAGCATTACTTTAGAATGGACTATTCATGTCTTACGGACCTATTGGTAGCCCATGAATGTTAGCGCACTCTTAAAATTCAAAACTCAGCTGTAGGTGTAGTCTACAACGACTTCAGTCAGGGTTTCAAAAAACATACTTAGAGTCGGTCATTATTTAAGTACTGTCGGAATTGGAGGCAATTTATTAATGTGTATGAAAGACTTTCTTGTTGGGTGTCAACTATGAGTACGGGCGGACTCAAAGTTGTTTAGCTGGGAAACTTTGCTTAGCGAAGTGTACCAGAGCACATAAATGACCCTTCTGGTCTCCTGTGGTGATCATTTTTGTTGTACGCCGACGATGTCAAGATATGGAGACTGATAAATTGTAAAAGTGACAGTTTAGAGCTTCAGAATGACTTGGATAAATCTGACTATTCTAGGATTCGCAAGTTGCCGATAAATGCTTCCCAGTGCATTATGATACGTTTGGCCACCAAGGTATATATACACACACAGTAAATAACAGTGAGCTACCTGTTGTTCAGAAACATAATGACCTAGGAGTCATCGTTAGTAAAGATCTGAAAACCACTCCACAATGTCGCGCAATAGCCGTCAAAGGTTTTAGAACCCCATGATCAATATATGGAGCCTTCAGCCATTTTGACGCGAAAATCCTCTTGACTTTGTATACAGTATTCGCTCATCCTAAACTCTGTAGATGGCTAGATGGTTCCTGTCCAATATGAGACAGCGAGTCGTTGAAAACGGATCAAAGAACCGCAAACAAGCTGCTTCACAGAATCACAAAGCTCTATCATGATGCTCGACTGCCTTGATTAAACCTATTTCTATTGTTATGTAAAAGAGCCAAAGGCGACTTGATCAGCTTTAAATAACCTAGTGACAAATTTTATTCGGATACGCCTATTTATTCTAGTCTTCTAAAACAAAGAATTTGCGGCAACACAGTAAAAACGTACACAAACTCCGAATAAATTATCTGGATCCGTGTCTTGCGAACAGAAAGTTTGTAACAGTAATAAAAGTCAATATATGTGATGTTATTGATCTGAATATTTTCTTCCAGTTGCAAGGCGACAAAGGGCAAGCGTATCGGAAGAGGATGAAGAAGTTCTACGTCAACTGAACTTGCAAAATAGTGGATGAGAATGCTTTATAGTAAGTTTTTCCCTGTTGTGCCCGAACCACATCATTCGGTTTTTGAGATATATATGCGTTGTGTCAGCATGTTGTGTCCTCGCACCCTAGATATTCACCGATCTTGATTTGTGTGTTGTCGTTTCATGTCTTTCTCGCTCCCAGATTAACATCAATAACATGTTGTGTAAGCTTATTCCTAACATGATTCTCATACCTCACAGATTCGGTGAGTCTCCACCACTTTTGATCCAAATATTCTTTCCTGAGCTTAATGTCCATTTGATTAATTTTCCTGTGAGTTTTATCCGAGCTAGTACTTATTTGCGGTTTTGCTTCAGCCTACTATATGACTTAGATTCTTCCAAGTTTAGACCAGTTTCAGTGTATCTTAACTTGATACACCGCTCATTTTATCCATTTCATCCGTCCTGAACACACTGCTTTTTGTCCCACGCTTCTAAACTTTCTCTGGGATTTGTCTAACAGCTTGTAATTCACCATAGTCATGAAGAACACATATAGGCAGCCTGGATGACGTTTTGCAGTCACCCATGGCACACACTGAGGCGAATGTCAAGGTCGGTTTCCCAGATGATGCACAGATCATACAGTAACTGCTTACAACTGACTCAGTAGATTAGATCACAGTTGGGTATGTGGCACATGCAACATAAATTTTGACGACTTGCTGATCAGCATCATTATTCTTCTTACAGATCTGCGTAGAAAATGTTGGAAAATCGCCAGGCAGTCAGGGAATGGAGAAGAGGGTTTTCGACAGCATTGGACTTCATTGAACGTTCATCAAGACTTGTAAAGGTATGCTGAAACTAATCACCACCATAACATTTGCGTTGTTGGACTTTCAGCAGACTTGTGTCCACCTCTTCAGACTCTCCAAATGCAACTGTGTTTCCAAAAAATTCTGTAGACGACTAGACCCCCGTCATAAGGGTCATAAAAATCGAATCTCACCCTCGAAAATGTTGACACAGCCCTGGTCTCACAACTAGTGGATTAGTAGCGAATTCTGCCCCTAGGATTGTTCGATCAGCCAGCAAAAAGCACGAGAACCTGAGACGAAATCCAGCTACCGAACAAAAAGAATCCCAAACTCTGCTTTCATGAAAAGCTGAGAAAACTATCATGGTTACTACAGGCCTCAAGTCTGAATAAAGGAAGAGGGTTGGGCATGCGGTTAGCGACCCCATACCGTAGAAAATTAACTTGCTAAAAAAGCTAATCATAAAAAAATATTCAAACCATTTAAACTCTGCCCTGGGAGTGAGATCTTTATTTAGAAGAGTTATGACGCCTCATGGTGAAAGCCGAGTTCCTTCAGAAGTCATGAAGCCGACGCCCCTTCTGACAACCAGAGAAACCATTTATTTGGGTACATGGAATGCTCTTACAATGTGGAAGACCGGGATAATCTTTCAAATTGCTGCAGAAATGAGGAGATACAACTTGGAGGTGCTTGAGATCAGTGAAACACATTAGACGTAAGTCGGACAACAACGACCAGCTTCAAGGTAGCTTCTGTTATACTCCGGCCATGAAGAATAAAATGCTTCACATACACAAGGCGTTGCACTAATGTTATCCGAACAAGCACAAAATGCACTTATAGGATGGGAATCTCATACACCAAGGATCACCAAAGCCTCCTTTAAAACAAACAAAGAAGGCATTACAATGAACGTCATCCAATGCTATGCCCCTATTAACGATTACAATGAAGATGTTGAAGACTTTTGGCGGCCTGCGTATACATCTAAGCTTCCTGTTCCTATCATCTAGACATTTCAACAAGTTATCTAATTTTGTTTGTTATAATACATCATTTTGGCTATTAATCGCACAACCTATTCAGGTGCGTTTCTGAAAAGTACACAATCTTTCGCTACAAAGGTTACAAAAGACCTAATAAGAGATATCGTGGTTTTTGACGATATGCAGCAAAGAGAATGTACGATGGAGGATTTGAGAAATAGGAGAGGATCTGATATAGCATCAGATCATCATTTGCTGGTCGGCAAGATGAAATTAAAACTTAAGAAGCCCTTGACAGCGGGCAGACAACATCACAAAAGTTTAGTTCGACCTTTCTTCGAAATACTGAAAAACTCAACAAATTCAAGATAGTCCTCAGTAACAGGTTCCAGGCCTTCCATGATCTAATAACTGGAGAAGGAACTACTATGGAGAGCAACTGCAAAGGGATCAAGGAGAAAATCACTTCAGCATGTCATGAGGTTCTAGGCCACAAGAGGCACCCATATAGGGAATGGATCACTGCTTATACACTGGATAAGATTGAAGAAAGGAAGAAGAAGAAGACAGTAATCAATACCAGCCAAACAAGAGCAGAGAAAGCCAAGGCACAATGTGACAATACAGAGGTAAACAAGCAAGTGAAGAGAAGCATCAGAACCGACAAGCGTAAATATGTGTAAGATTTAGTAATGACGGCGGAAAAGGTTATAAGAGAAGGAAACATGATACATGACACAACGAAGAAACTCGCTGGAAATTACCGTAAACCAGAACGACCATTGAAAAGTAAGGAAAGCAAGGTAATCACCAACACTAAAGAACGACAAAACAGATGGACAGAACACTTCAAAGAACTCTTGAATCGACCAGCTCCACTGAACCCACACAAAATCGAAGTAGCACCCACGGACCTCCCAACCGATGTTGGACCCCCAACGATTGAAGAGATCAGCATGGCCATTAGAAATATCAAGAGTAGCAAAGCCGCAAGACCAGACAATATCCTGGTAGAGGTACTGAAAGCAGATGTAGCAGCAACTGCAAAGATACTCCACATTCTCTTCAGTAACATTTGGGATTAAGAACAAGTACCAACAGACTGGAAAGAACGACTTCTGATCAAAATACCAAAGATAGGCGATCTCAGCAAGTGTGATAACTACAGGGGCATGACTCGTCTCTCAGTACCAGGAAAAGTCTTCAATAGGGTAATGTTAAAGAGAATGAGGGACTCCGTGGACGCCCAACTTCGAGATCAATGGGCTGGATTTCGTAAGGATAGAACGTGTACAGACCAAATCGCAACTCTGCGGATCATTGTGGAACAATCAATTGAATGGAATTCATCACTCTACATCAACTTCATTGACTAATGAGAAAGCATTTATTAGCATGAACAGGACAACATTATGGAGGCTTCTTCAACGCTAAGGAGTGTCTGAGAAGATAGATCCTCCGATACGACACAACATTCACCAATCAAATCACACATGATGAAGAAGCTTCGGAGGATCCAAAAAGCCTTACATATCTGGGCAGCATCATTGATGAGCATGGTGGAACTGATAAAAATATAAAGCAAGAGCAAAGGAAGAGCAGTATATCTACAACTGCCAACCAACACCAACACCAGAATTTTTAATACAAGTGTCAAAACAACTACACCTTAACGGGCGGAAACCCGGAGAACTACGAAAGCCATCATCCAGAAGATACAGGTCCCTGTTGATTCAGTACTAGGATCCCTTCTTTTACTTATTTATATAAAAAAGTTTTAACGGCAACTGTCGTTTGATTTATTACCTTTTATTGAAGATGTAAAATTCTGGAGAGGAGTTTGCAACCAACTCGATACTTCGGTAGGATCCGACTCCACTTCAGAGTTGGACGAGCGACAACGAAATTACCTTTAACGCTTCAAAGTATAAACTAGTCCACACCTAAACTGCAGCCACAACGCAATAGAATGAACTGTGGGTATACCTTTTACTCCTTCAGAGTAGACAAATGCTGGAACTCACTGCCAGATGAACTAGTTCAAGCAGCTTTCTAGAAGTCTTTCAAGAGGAAACGTAACAAATATTCTTAAAGACTATGGAGTGTATCTCACATTAATTTACTATTATTTTTTATCCTTTATCCTCAAACATACTCAGGTTCCTGTCTGATGGCATCGGTGATTCACTGTTATTCCATATGGAAGTCCGTTAAGCGAAAGCCTTTTTTACTTAGTCCACAGCCATTTAAAACCTTTTGAAATTATTTGTCAGTCCACCATCGACGTTCCCATCGAATCATTAAGTAATGGAATTTATCTCTTAGACAAGTCACTGAAGCTCCATCTTTTAACGCTTTTAAAAGAGTGTAGGATCAACTGAGAATGAACCATTGTGAAGACTAACACAAGCCTCTTAGCCTGCTGTTCTTTCCAATTGAAACAAACTCGCAATACTGAGTACTGACAAAAATTATACTTAATGTACAGAATCAAAGGAACTCAGAGCTTCACTTGGACCGTGCGTATTAGTTATTTGCCTGCATATTGACTGGAATTTTCAGTCATACTATATGTCAGAACACTTCGTTTGTTCTAATCAGTTTTGATACGCTATCAAAACCTGTTGCGCTTCGCGCACTCTTTGACTGGTCGGCTTTGCTTATTAACGGCTTGTTTTTCTCCCTGTCTCCGAAGTCCACGGTATGTTTTAGTCGTTCACGTCAGTGATAAATTGATGTTTAGTGGCATATTCGCTTTCAATGATACGTTTCTTTCCATTCCCAGTAAACTATAATATACTTTCAGAGGCGACTATGAATCAATCTATTTTGGTGAAGCCACCATAGAAACTTTTAGGGAAATGACAACCCTCCCTCAAAAAACTTCCCTACGCCTAAGGACGTTCCACCAAATTTAGGGTTTTCTTGAGTATTCCCCGAGAATCGGGAGATAGAGAAGTTCAAATTCAATGTCAAAAGTGGAGAATAAGGCCTAGAACATATATATATATATATATATATATATATATTCATTTGAACCATAATTATTTCGTTGTAATGGTGGTGAGATAATAACAAGCCAAAATGGCAAAGGATATAGTTAAGGTCAACTTTTTTATGTCGGGTAAGCTTAACTGCAGAATTAATCAACAAACTTCGAGCATATATACGACTTTAGGTCAAATTATCCTAGAACTTTGGGTGTAATGACACTTGTGTGTCCAAACCACAATCTACGAAGCGAGATTTAATTATTTAACTGTATTATCGGCATTTCATTTTGATTATATTTAACTTACGGTTTTTTACTGATCTTTTGACTGGTGTTCTGTCAATACCAGCGTGGTTCTTGTCTATGTTGATTTTCGTCTAATCAGTAGCTTAGGCTGGCAGTAGTTTTGTTGCCATTTTCTCTGTTCTCAGACCATTCTTTACCAGTGTGTATGTATTTTAATGAAAAATGCTTTGATTTTAAATAACTTCCGTTGTTTTTTTTACAGTATATATATACATCTTGATGGTTTTATCAGGATTTTCTCGAACTTTCTCAGATATCAGTTGTGGAGATGGCAGCCTCAGTAGATCTCTTCAGGATAGCAATCAAAACTGTAGCGTGAACAGAGCTTTTGGAATTTCGAGAGGCAAATCTAAGTAAGTACCACACTGTCCAATTACTTCGTAGTTCTAAAACTCCGACGAGAACTCCATCTCGTGGTGGCCTGGTCTCAGATGATCCAAGCAACTCTTTTAAAAGGACACCTAACTCTTCCATTAAAAAAATACCAACGGTACACGAATGTGATGGTGACAGGTGACAAATATCTTTTGATCTTACTTTGTGACAGATTTATTCCTAATAGGTCATCAACAAACATGTGCCGAGCGCGGCATGTAATTCGAAAATGCAACGAAGATCCATCAAATGAAGAGGCTGTTGATTATCAACAAGCTGTAGCAGATAGTTTAAATACTAATGACTGTCCTGGAAGTCGAATTCTCCGCTATAACGCTGCCATTCGAGATAGTGGTAATGTACACTGCCCCACAAATAGCTCAGTATCGACTGTAAAGGGACTCTATAAGCGCGCTATACCCCAGGTAAGAACCGAAACATTCAGACTTTAAAGTTTATCACTACAGATACGAGCATTTGGTTAGTTTGTTGAATAACTGGAGATTAACGCTATGTAGTGGTTACTTTTATTTATACGATTAACGCGATTTTTTATATGATTGGTTTGCATTTTGGTTTGTGATGCTCTATTTGATTTGTGAAATAACATTACGATTGGTAGCTTTTGATGCATCTCTATCTTCAGTATTAAAGGCTCAACGGCGATGACGTTTCAGCTGTCTTCAAAATTCACTTGTTCCATCGTTTTTTACTGTATACACTATAACTGCAGGCTTCCATAGGCGAGATCTTTAGCTTCAACGAGCTATTAAGTTTAATGATATATAAATAACTCCTGCCCATACGAAGACATCCAGGTGCTTGTCTTCACCTTCAAATCAAGCCAAGGCGTCTCTGTCACGTCGCATCACTTCATATTGGACAAAAAGTATGGTGGATTAATAATTCCTTCCAATCCATTTGAATGGCAGAACATTATGACGAGTGTTCGCTTTCATTTTTAAATCAGTGCCTAAAATGGAATTTTATAAGCTGAGTTAATTTAAAAATTCATATTTATATACTCGGTGAGAACATAGGTCTAGTAGATGCAGAGGATCACTTAGGGGAGTTGGGGAACCTTGGTTGCAAACAAACGATGCAGTAGGCTCAGGACAATAAAGGAACGAATGGTGTACGAGCGTATTTTGGTTATTGGCTACCATGGGATCGTGTCTCCTGACGTTACCCTATCTATTTGTTGATTAGACCCCTAGATCATTGTACCGAAAAGTGGTCACGCAAGAAGACAACCTCCGGTTTGGGCGCCCAGGCAGTATCCTAGCCCACACAAAAATGAGATAAGATATAGTTTTGAAGGAACTGTTCTGTTCTCTGCCACATTACTTGCTCAAACAATACTTACAATAACCTCGTAAAGAATGAAATCGTTTCACTGTCTTCATTCCCCATTATTCCCTGTGCGCACCTTTACCTTTCAACTAAATTAGCGACTCATCTCTTGTAATTGTTCTGTCCTGTCGCTGAATGGTCTAATTTATGAATGCTCCCACGGAGTGCGTTTTATGATACAGCCTTTTTGGAACCACATGTACCATTTAAATTGGCATCCAACGTTTGCATACTGATCCGGATGGAAAAACAGACAGGTTGTCTATGTCTTTCGAAATTTTTGATATCAATATTAACTGTATCTCCAAGACCCTTATTCGAGACGCCAACAAAGTACTATTGATTTGTGTCCCATCTATCAACTCAGAAGGTTTATTTTTTATATCCTTGTCCGGAGCCCCTTTGGGACCGTTCGGTTTTCTTAACACGTGTTGCACCAAGTGTCAACAGATGCAGCACTAATCAATTGAATCCTTAATAACAGGTCATGTGCTCTTTGGTTCAAAAATCACGTCAGTGTAAGAGACTAGAGTGGAAAACGAAACCTCGTAATCTCTGTCTGTGAGTAAGCATCACAACCAGTAATGAGTTTTACTATCGAGTAAATGGTTTTCTCAAGAAGGCACATCCCGAAAATATTGCGGTGCTAGCCGGAGATTTAAATGCAAAGGTGGTGAAATCAGGTACAAAGAAGAGCATACAACCATCGATGACATTCTGGAAGTAGCTCTAATATGAATAGGTGGTGGTAGTCTAGGTCTGTTGCTTGGAGAACTTTTCGACCTTAAGTCTGCGAACGATGACTTACATTGTTACGGTACACAAACCACCCAAATCTCACTTAGCTACTCGGCAGTGTTCGTAAGTCGTGCACTTACTTTTTACTTCTTAAACTAAAAGTGCTTATAAAGATTACGAGAAGCCTGTTTCGGCACTCACTCTCTGTAATGAGTCATCAAAAGTAGCTGAAATGTTCGTGTTCCTTTGTAGTTGTATGAATGCTGGTGGTGACATGAGTGATGAAACCAACCCACGTGTAGTTAAATCTAGAATGGCTCATACCAATCTGAGAGAGTTTTGACAATGTTGTGATTTTGGTCCTGTTTTTAACGCGTTATTAATAACAGTTTTGTTCTGTGCTTACAAAGCCTGGCGTCTTCGGATTAGGGATTTTCAGCGACCCTCTGAGTTTGATCATTGTCGCCGAAGGGTTGCTGATATCCAGTTTCAACACCATGTCAGTAATGTGAGTTTTGGTTCAGATAGCGACAATGATATATTTGGTGTTCGATCGTGAAACACTGCCTTCATTGGTCTGGTGATGTTACGAATTTCATCTCAGCGGTTTCAGTATCGTGCATCAATAGCAAACGCTAGTGCTGGTTGGAAGAAATAGATTTTGTCTAGTTATAAATTGGCTCCTTTGAACGAAAGAAATCTGTATAGGACCGACATCTTTCTGTCCATCACGGCTCCCTATTCTGGGTATTTAAAGACCGCACAATGTAATGGTTTGAGACGTTATCAGCTATAGCTCATAATAGGAACCAATGGCGGTACTGCTGTAATTCCCATTGACATTCGTCATAAAAATATAAGTAGAATTCCCCTATTTATAAGGTTTGTTTCTATTTGTAATTTCAAGTGCTGTTCCTCTGACTATATACTACTCTCGTTCGCTTATTTCTATTCGTTTGTTTGTTTCTGGTTATACTCCTCCTTCATCTGTCTCTTCTTAATTTCGCTTTCATATTTGAATAACAAATCTAAAGCATGCAGCATTAACTGTGTTACGTTTACTGGCATTACTAGTAATTTTCCTTCACCTTTACGTTTTCCTTTTTTTATGACTTTTCCAAGTAGTTGTACAACTATGCTTGATATTTATTGCCCAAAATTTGAAATTATTTCATTTAGATGCCAGAGAAAGTTCTTGATGCTCCGGACATTATTGATGATTTTTATCTTAATATTTTGGACTGGTCTGTGGACAATATTTTGGCTGTCGCGTTAAATCAAGAAGTTTATCTTTGGAACTCATCTTCAGGAGATATCACTTGTCTTATGTCCTGTGGTTTTGAGGATGAATATGTTTCGAGTTTGGAATGGTCTCCTGATTCTCCCAATATCATTGCCATTGGACTTAGCGCTGGTCGTGTTCAACTTTGGGATGTTTCCAGCCAGTCACTAGTACGTACGATGCGACTTGGAGGTGTCAGCTCTGCCGGCCGCGTACCAGCCGTCACTTGGCGTGAATATTTAGTTTCCAGTGCATCTAAATCAGGACATATTAGACATCACGATACGCGGATCGCTCATCATGAAGTTGGAGTTAGTGATTTTCATACCCAGGTAGGTTTCAACTGACAATCTTACCGTGTGTTCGGTTCTGCGTAAGTGTAGCCATTTATGAGTTTGACCTAGTTATTGATTTCTACCTACTTGAATATTTGTATTGCACTGTCCTAATTATTCTTTGCTCTTGAGTCTTAGACGTTTCTTAGCATCTATTTTGTACATTTTTGTTATTATATATATTCCGGAGTGTCCCTAAATTATTCTCGATGCTTAGTCCTAATAATTTTTCATGACACCAAGAATCTTAGCGTTACATAATTTTGTCTCATGTTCCGGTCTTATTCTGCAACTTCTATAATCTTCGTGTTAGTGCTCAGGGTTGTTACAACCTATGTAAACTAACTATTTCGTTGAGTTCTATTTAGATAAAGTCAATTCATTTCGTAGTGTTTCCTTCCATGGTTATCTCAGAATAGTTGTCTACTTCTAGTAAGGCAGAGATGTTTTCGTTATCTAAGTTCAATGATTCTATTTATTCCTTTGAAAATTGGACCAGATTACTGATTGCAAAGCTAGGATTACTCTAGCTTCAGTTAAAGAGATCTTTATACATATTTTCTGCTTGTTTTTTATTTATTCGGCATTCACTTTTGTTGTATTGTGCGCTCTAATCTTGACCAAAATTCATATTAAACCGTAGATATATGACTCGTGATATTCTACACTCGTAAATGTGCTGTAGACTATTTCTACTTAACATCTCAATTTAGTTCACGCGATGTCGAGTCACTTAGATTTGTGGTTACATTGTAGCCTGATCGACAGAATTCGATCAACACTAAAGGACTAGACAAACATGACAACTGTCTCTAAACAGCGATCAATCAACTGTAATATTTCAGTGTCTTAGGACTGTTTGCTTGTGCTTTCACCATGTTTAAGTTGTTATTACTTAAGTCGAACTATATTCCTTTGTAATGTCGAAATCGTTTTCTTCTCAGTTTTCCAGTTATCTGTCTAAATTTCCATTGGTTAGATTGAACAGCTGCAGTCTTAAACATCAATGCTAAGGTCCAAACAACCCATATATATATATATATATATATATATATATATATATATATATATATATATATATATATATATATATATATATATATATAATTTGTGACTGAAATGTTGACTATCATGGTGACCAGGGTAAAGAGAGCGATTTTACAAATTTCTCACGGACAAATATGTTAGGTTTATTGATATGGATATAACAGAAACCATTGATATTATTTGATACGTTCGTATGCTATGCTGATAATTCGCTACTCTGACTTTACTACTTTGAACAAGATCACTTTTATCCTCTTCTTTTTTTGCTGCCTCACTAACTGAATTAAGATGCTGGTTTTGTAGATGAAGTTTTTGATGTTGATCCAGTGCAGCAGATCAAAATGTATCAATTCTATCGATTGCATATCAAACAAAAATGATTAAAATGTTTAAACGAATTATTTGTCATTAATACGAATCATCGTAAAAATGTATTGGAATTTCATAGGTAGTGTTTGTATTGAATAATTAACCGTAACAGGATTTTAACGTTATCAGAGATCGCACATCCCCAACATTACTAAACACTTTTTCATTTTTTCTTATTGTTTCTTTGCTTAATATCTGATCTTGTTTTGTTATCTAATTGTAGTGTTCTTTTTATGATTGAATGCCTGTTAGGAATGCTAAACTACTTGTCAAACATTTTAAAAATTCTATTATTATCAATCCTTAAACCACATAGTCTAATTCATTCATTTTAATATGTATTATCTTATCCACCTTATCTTATAATTGTTTTATTGATCATCACAATTATACTCATAAATGTGAATTTCCCTATCGCATTTTGAAAGTAGTATTAAACGAGGGTTGGCGGTAGTATGGTTTTGTAATGCCTTATTTCTGAATTTCGTTGCTTATGGTACTAAAATTGCCCGTCACGAATTTTTCTTTTATTTTTGTGACTGTTACTTTGACGCCAACTAGTCTATGTCATCTATCTTAGTTTTGATATTTATTAGATCAGATTGATATCAGTCAGTCAGCTACAACGTAGGACCAGGCACATTTATGCACCGGTCCATGTTGCCATACCTCGTTAGCACAACAAGATGAACACCGAATTCATAAAAGTAGTTAATTTAGTGGTGGTAATATATAAAAGATAGGTTGTATATAAGAATATAGTATAGGAAGAAAGAAAGTTATGAAGCAATTTTAATCTTAAGGTTTAAGGGAAGATAAAGAGTGTATACACCTACGCCATTGTGATCGATTCTGAGCCATGTCACCTAGAGTCTCCAACCATTGTTATGGATACCGGTGTCCTTGAAATATTGTGTTATGCTTTCGCAATCATAATATATCCAGTACTCGATTGGATAGAACTAGGAGTAAGATCATTAACCATGAATACTCCGAGATTAATCAGTAAAATTTTTTTAAAGCTTCCACGTAACATATGAAATTGACAATTTTTGGTGATGGTGGTGACAAGTCATTCGATTTAATTGAATATGACTAAACTGGATTGAACTGACCATTTCATCCCTCAAGTTTCTGTTTTATAGATATCAAAAGACAGGCTTACCAACCGACTGACTGAGTTTATAGATATGTATATCAAAGCTATGACTTAAATGCAAAATATTTGAAATAAACTGGTGGGACCATGAATTCTTTGTCAGATAGTAAATAATTGGCAATCAGTGGTTAATATAAAAATCGAGAAGCAACTAATGACTTATTTTTGCCTGCTTTAACAGATGTAATCGGCTATCACCTTATGATCTGTTCTTCTAATTTTGCTTCATTAGGTTTTCAGTTGATATGCGATCACCTTATTTTCGTCCTTTTATGCTAATTTTCTAGGAAGTTTGTGGATTGAGTTGGTCGCCAGATAAACGTTTCCTTGCATCAGGAGCAAATGACAACTTTGTTTGTGTTTGGCCTTTTAGTGATCTCTCAAAGCCTGAACATGTGCTTAGAGATCACCAGGCTGCAGTTAAGGCATTATCATGGTGCCCTTGGAAACCAAATCTTCTATGCACAGGTGGAGGAACATCAGATCATACTCTACGCTTTTGGAATGCAACAACTGGAGCTTGTGTTAAATCAGTTGATGTAGTGGCTCAGGTAAGCTTAGTTCCATCGAGTAACTGAAAAACTTTCCTGAAATAGTTTTGTTTCTGAAAGCGAGGAAGCCAGTATCCACAAGCGTTAAGGCTGCTTTGTTACTGTGCTCATTGAAGACGTTAAAGAATGATCGCTTTTCATCATTCTGCATCCAAACTCGACAAAAGTTAAATTACATGTGAAAATTTAGAAATAATTTAAGGTAGCATTTCGCTCAAGTTGAAACAAATATCCAACAGTTCTTACTAAGTGTAATGTAGTTCCTAATAATCGTACTAAATATTTGAACAAGTACTTAGGAAAAGCGAAACTAGTAAAGTATAGTAAATCAAACACTCAATCAGTAGATCATCGGTTCATAAACCCATTATATGCAAAATTAATCATGTTACCTAGCGGCGTACAGAAAAATGTGCTTCAAAATGTTTTAGTTATTTTCAATGTAGATCAAAAGCGAATAACCCCTTTATGCAAGTTGTAGAAAAAACAATCTATGTACAATACAGAAACAACGTTGGTATATTCGTCACAGTGCTTAACACCCTGCATCGATTTGGGTAGCCAAATAATATTATTAGATCTTACACTTTAAAACGTCCCGCTTAGAATTATGTACAGCAACGTGTACTTGGTAAATAAGTTACATTTAAAGGCTAACACAAGTGTTATCGAATTCGGCGAATTCCGAGCATCTTTTCAATCGAACAACAGCCGTTACTACTCTGTGAAATACGAACGTAATAGCTGCATTTGGAATGTTGTAACCTAAAATTTTCACTACATGTCACATAGGTCTTTGATGCTTTTCTTCAGAACACTGTATTATTTATCTTTTAGTATTCCTATTGCAAAGCATTCCAAATCCCGAATTTTCATGTCGACAAGTGTTTACATGGTTGCTGAAGTACTTCACTGAAAATACAATGAGATAAATTTTCTAATATTAGTAACTGAACCAATGCCTTAGTGAGGATATATCTTCTCAACCTTACACTGCCTACCTCAATTCGGTCTACCCACTATTGTCCTTGACACTCAGAGCAAACAGTGCTTCTCCAAATCATGAACTAATTTATTTCCTTTATTAGGACTTGCCTATTTTTATTCTGTATTAAAAAACAAACGGTATTTTGTTGTAAGCTTCATTTCTGACTTTAACAAATTTATCCAATAAGTAAAAATGTATGACAACTCATTTTCAAATCATTCATTTACTTTCTAGATTTCTGGTATTATATGGAATACAGAATATCGTGAGATTTTAACTAGTCATGGAGATCCTCTTAAACAACTGGTTATATGGAAATATCCAGAAATCACCAAAGTTACCCACTTAGGTAAGAAATCCTGGTTAAGGTTACTAAATTCAATGTTGAATATGAACTTAAATACTAATTACACAATATGCGGATCCTATTATGTTTTGAGGTATTATCACCGGTGATGTTCGTTCATATTTGCTCCGGTTGATTTCCACTAAATGATTGTTTAATACATTACATCATATCTATTGCTTATATAATATATCACTCGTATGCCTGTACGTTGTCGATGTATGTTATTCATGTTGAATTTGTATGATACTAAAGAACTCATTAGTTCCTACTTTACTTCACATATGAACTGAAATTTTTTACAACTGATCCATGCTGAAGTTGTATTATTAAATCTAAAATTAATTATATTTTTGTTATTAGTCCGATTGTGTATATGATCAGGCGTGAATTCATTTTATCAAACATAGTTATCTTGGATTTCTCAGTGTACTACTATGAAGAATAATATACAGTAAACCGGAACTCATTAGTGTGTATCATTTCACGCAACACATTTTCTTTTACAAAAATAAACACAAGAGAATTCCAAACACTAATATTTTGAAAGTTGCATCTGTTTATTTGATTTATATCAAAGGTAAATAAACAATTCAGGTAGTTTTGTTAGTACTTACTTACTTACGCCTGTTACTCCCAATGGAGCATAGGTCGCCGACCAGATTTCTCCAACCCACTCTGTCTTGGGCCTTCTTTTCTAGTTCTATCCAGTTTTTGTTCATTCTTCTCATGTCTGTCTCTATTTCTCGGCGTAATGTGTTCTTTGGTCTTCCTCTTCTCCTTTGGCCTTCAGGATTCCATGTGAGGGCTTGTCTTGTGACGCCATTGGGTGATTTCCTCAAAATGTGCTCAATCGACTTCCAGCGCTTCTTCCTGATTTTGTCCTCCTCTCAAATCTGGTTTGTTGTCTCCCACAGCAACTTGTTGCTGATAGTGTCTGGCCATCTGATCCGAAGTATTTTGCGTAGACAACTGTTAATAAACACTTGTATCTTCTGGATGATGGCTTTCGTAGTTCTCCAGGTTTCTGTCCCATACAGTAGAACTGTCTTGACATACATACATACTCTATTTTAATTACTATCGTAATTGTTAAACATTTCTCCTGATGACACTAATCTTAATAATTCAACTGTCTATTAAGCTTAACAAATCACCAGCACAGTTATTGTTGTAAATTAGTCATATATTTTGTGTATTTGTTAACATGGTTATAACTTTGAAACTAACTAAAAGCATGTGGTTCTATACATCAAAAAAACTTAGTAGTAGGATGTTCTGCCACATTTTAACTGACTCAAGTTTCCTGTCGTTAAGTCTTAGCATACGTATATTTTGGTTGTAATGAAAGTATTCAAAATACAGTTTTCATGAATTTCGAAAACATTTAATCGTAAGTTATTAGGGTTTTCCAAACGTGGAGTCATTTGTGTTATGTTTGTGATCATAAAAAATTACATATCTTCCTGTTTCAGAACATCAAGGTCGTGTATTGTGTATTGCATCGTCTCCAAATGAAGAAATGGTTGTTAGCTGTGCATCTGATGAAACTTTGCGTATTTGGCATTGTTTTCAAGTTGATCAAAATAAGAAACGTATTCATGAAAAAAGTCTACGGCCTTCTGTTTATGCACGTGGGATACGGTAAAGTCATACTGTGGAGTTGTGACCGATGATTATGTCCTGTCCATCTTTTCCACATGTTTATGTCACGTTTTCAGTGTATAATCAATATTTAATCTAACTCCTATGTTATAACTATCTGTATGTCATTGTTTCAATGCACTGATTTGATTTATTAACAGAATATTTTATATCATTATGTTTTTCTTTCTCTTTAAAAAAGAATGAAAACTGTATGTATGTCCTCAATAAATGCACCTAGTGGTTTCAATTTAAATTACGTTATCCCTTAAAGATGAGAAATTGTGAATTTTCATAGAATTCTTTAGATATTGTCATGGGTCTAATCCTCATTATTTATCAGAGGTAAATGCGTTGTGAGTAGTATTAGGTGCCGTCCTCCAGATAGTATAGACAAATGGTTAAATGTTTCAAGTAAAATAGATCACAATAATACGTTCGGCCTATATGTTTTGAATTTTGTTCGTTTCTCACATCAGACGGGTTTAGAACTAAAAAGTAGTTTTTCTTTGCCGACAATTAATTGTAGTCCTTGTATACTAAGTTCCGAGAGCTTACTGACACTATGGGATAAGAGTTTACTCATTTTTCCTCTCATTGCACTGTCAATGCGTCCTGGAGATCATACAACGTAATAGCTCAACCGATCGGTAATGTAGTCCCGAATATTTTGTTAGAATGATTGTAATGGGTATTATTGACGTATAAAATTCACAACAACCCACTCAGATCGAAAATGGAACAGTTAAATCTATTAGCTCAATCCTGCTGGTTGATTTGTGTGATAAATCCTAACAAGCCGTGGTTTGTTTATCTGTTAATCGTATTCCACTGTCTTGCTGATTCATAAATACCCGAGACGCGTTGCCTATTTGACAGCGGACAATTTACTCATTTCAGTACAATACGAGTTATACCTGTCTAGTGCAGTTCTCTATTTTATTCTTATGCAGTTGCTGTGTATTCTATTCTCAGTGCTATCTTTAATCCGATGCAACTGCTGCTGATTGTAGTGTTTATACCAATTTAATTCCAATACAAAAACTATCGGGTCTGATTCTTGTATTCATCCACTAACACTACTCAGTCAAGTTGTTTCCATTCATTCCTATTAGAATTCGGCATCATTTATCACTTTGTGTCGGTCAATTCAATCTAGATGTACCTTCTGTAACATTACTTTCCAATTTCTTATTCAACCTACTCATCAATGAGAAACATGATCCAATCCTGTAGTTGTCCCGAACCGATAAAACATCCGATGTTTTGTCTACTGCAACGAAAACGTCCTGGATGTTGTTCATGAATAAATATTACTTTAAGAGGGCCCCTGTCTTCAATGTATCAATGTCCTTGTTATTATTTTGCATGGAAATTTAATGACATGACTAGCTTGCGTTTCCATTACGGTTACCCAGATTCGTTAAGAGATTAAGTATGCTGATTTTACTCCAGTGACGTAGTAGCTTGTGGTATTTGTATGACTTGATTATTCCTTTGTACTTGATAACTGTCTTATTTCGAATTACAAACGCAATGCGTTCGTTTATGTTCACCTAGTCCTTGGACGATGGGCGGAATTTTTCGAAGGGCAGTTCAACTAGCCTGCTGCTCCGGCAACATCAACCAGCTTGTCCTGCCCCCCATGGCCGGTGACGACTGTTCCACCAAACGAGGCGGAAGTCCGCAAGGAACTCCAACTCTTGAAGCGCTACAAATCACCTGGCCCAGATGACTTACCTCCGGCCCTTTTTAAAGATGGTGGCGACTTTCTGACTAAGGAATTGACTGTGTTGTTTGGAAAGGTTTGGGAGCAAGAAAGTGTTCCAACATCATGGAATGAGTCAATAGTCGTCCCTATCTTTAAAAAGGGTTCGCGTTGTTCCTGCAATAACTATCGGGGGATAAGTTTACTTCCGATTGCGTCCAAACTATTGGCTTCTATCATTCTTCGTAGGTTGTTTAAAACCCAAGAACGATTGACTCGCGAGGAGCAGGCTGGTTTTCGTTCTGGTCGAGGATGCATTGATCACATCTTCACCCTCCGCCAAATGTTAGAACACCGTCATACTTATCGCAGGCCAACAATCGTAGTGTTTCTTGATATCAGGGCTGTCTTCGATTCGTTGGACAGGACTGTTCTCTGGGATTGTCTATTGAAGAAGGGTGTGTCTGAGAAGTTCATTAACATCTTAAAAGCCCTGTACACGAACACCTCAGGCAGAGTGAGGGCATACAACCACCTTTCTCCCTTGTTCCATTCGAGCAGTGGGGTTAGACAGGGTTGCCCGATCTCACCATTCCTCTTCAACTTTGCCATCGACGACATCTTGGAAACAGCTCTGATGGATGTAAGTAATGGCGGTGTGGATATGTTGCCTGGAGAACGACTTCTCGACCTTGAGTATGCGGATGATATTGTCTTACTGTGCGATAATGCCCAAGGCATGCAATCAGCACTTAGTCAGTTGACAGTTAGTGTCTGTAGGTACGGTATATGCTTTACACTTTCGAAGTGCAAAGTACTCCTACAAAACTGGCAGGATTCTCATCATGTACTCACCCTGGATGGTGAGCAGATTGAAGTAGTTGAGAAGTTCGTGTATCTAAACAGCTATATAAGTGCTGGTGGTGGCGTGAGCGATGAGATTGATGCACGTATAAGGAAAGCCAGAGCGGCTTATGCCAATCTGGGCCATCTTTGGCGCCTTCGTGATCTTAGTCTGGCTGTAAAAGGTTGGATTTACAACGCGTCGGTGAGAGCAGTTTTGCTGTATGCTTGTGAAACCTGGCCTCTCCGAGTTGAGGATGTTAGACGTCTCTCTGTGTTCGATCATCGTTGTTTCCGAAGGATTGCTGACATCCAGTGGCAACACCATGTTAGTAATGCAGAGGTTCGGCATCGTGTGTTTGGGCACAGAGACGATAATTCAATTGGTGTCACCATCTTGAAACACCGACTTCGGTGGCTTGGACATGTTTTACGAATGTCGTCCCAGAGACTTCCACGTCGTGCATTATTTGCCGACCCTGGGACTGGTTGGAAAAAGCGGAGAGGAGGTCAGTGTATGACATGGTGTCGTGGCATGAAAGAGAGCTGCAAAGGGCTAGCTTCTGTTGGTCTTTCACGACTCCCTGGTTGGGGTCCGAGAGATGGTGCAACACAGTGGCTAGAGACGTTATCAGATATGACTCAGAATAGAAGCCAGTGGCGATCCTGCTGCAACCTTCTTTTACTTTCTACATAAAGAATGGTTCTTACTTTCCTATTTGAAAGAGTCTTCTGGTTGTACATTTTAGTCCGCCTTATCTTTTCATCCCTTCTCTTCCTACTTTCATTATTTTGTGTGGCGCATATGTACCTGGTGCCCTTTTGTACCAATATATATGTGTTTAAATAAATAAATAAACCTAGTCCTTTGTGGCTTAAATTGTGTTATGTCGGGAATTCCTGATTCGTACAGTAATTCAAATGCCTCTAATTATTTCATAGCTTGAAATACCTTCGAACAATTGAATGTCCTCGGGATACTGACCCAATGTACTCATGCCGTATTAAATAATTGTAAGATTCGTTTTCTATTTGACAAAGCAAGGATGTTCGAGTGTGTAATACCAGCAAGCAATGAGTAATCCAAGAACAACACAATCGGAAGTTGTCCTAGAGTAGTGAGAGTCCTAGTACGAAGCTGAAAAAGATGGGTGAAATGTTTTGTCCTGATTTAACAAAGTACGGTTTTACCTTTATCAATTATCTAGAATTAAAACTCGTGTTGCGCATAGAGTTCTGTTGTGATGGACGTTGTGTGAAATATGATATTGATTCGCGATTAGCTACGCGCTAACATCCAGATCTGAGCAAAAAATTAAGAGTGGTGGTGAAAGTATGTTGGGCTACCGAATAAAATGCGGAAATACTCATTTGCATGTATACAACTCTACCACTTAGAAAATCAATCGATTTCTTAACCAACGAAATGCATATGTTCTACAGATGGCTTCTGATTGTCGTCGACTGACCTCGTTCGGCCACTTATTATGCCAACGTCGCCTGCTGAAAAAATATGTCCTGCTCCTTGGGTTTAACTGGAAGTGTTGTGAAGAAAATCGTCTGGGAGAACTTGTCGAACCAAAATGACTGTCGATTAAATAACCTAGTAGTAAGTTCGAGCTGGGGTGTTCTTTGTCCGACTTTAATTATCTATTGTGGATATGGTTTGTACATCGCGTCAGCGATTTACTTCGAACACCAATTTTGTACACCACATCACTGACTCTTACGACTATACCCGCTACCCAAGCTGGTCCTCACTGTCGAACGTCTCTTTGATAGACTGGCAACCCGTTAAGAAACTGATGTCTTTGGGTTTATAATGTGGCTTTCTTCGCCATCAAATGAATTCCAAATATTCCGAACATTGGTTGAGCTATGAAGGCACCGCTGGATCAGGCATAACTTGGAGTTACTCTGCATGACCCCATTCATTGTATTCACCCATTGTAACGTGATAAGGGCTCATTTGTAAGCATTGATAAAAAGTTCTGCTTAACCGTTTGACTGGGGTTAGTATAGTGGTTACCAAATATGCATAATTGTGTTCTTTAAGCAGAAGTTCGAGAAGACCTCGGAAATGAACTATGGCCCATTGTCAGTAGCTAGCGCCTCTGAAAAACCGAATTGCTCGGAGAGCCTTTTCAGCACCATTATTATTGTTATTGACGATGTCTGGGGCAATAAATAAACCTCTGGTTATCTTGTAAATGAGACAATGACAGCTAAAAAATTTTGACTATTTGTTGACTCAGCAAAATCATCATGAACATGTGACCAAAGTTTCCAGCACTTAGCCATTGAAATGGCTATGTTTTCGGTCGCAGTTTTGTAGCATGTAGAATCTATGGATATTTCTCTACGATACTTTCAATGTCCTAATCAAGCAGTGATTAATATGCATGGTTAGATTCCGTGACTTTATACTCTGCATACCCGGGTGACCAGAGTGT